TTTTTTTTTTTTTTTTTTTTGACTTTTTTCCCGTTTTTATTCTTTTTTGTTATTGTGCGCACTCAGCATGAGTGCATCGGCTAACATGTCCAAAAATCAAAAAAGACTGCGATGCAACCGCGTGCAGCCCTGCTGGAACTGCTCGTCCCGGGGCCTCGCCTCATCATGCGCCTTTCCCGACACCAGCACCGTCGTCCCGTCCGCGTCCACGCCCGCCACGGCCGCCGCCGCCAGCTTCCAAGACCGCATCAACCATCTCGAGGGCCTCGTCGTGCAGCTCCTCCAGCAGGATCCTCCTTCCGATACATCGATAATCCCGCCTCAGCTATGCGCCAAATGCACTGAGCCTCTTGCTCCCGCGCCAGTCGCGACAACGACGACAACGACGGCCGTCACCTCGCCGTTGTCGTTGTCGTCGTCGTCGTCGTTGCATGCGCCCGACATTGGCAGGCTGAAAATCGACAGCGCAAAGAGCGCCTACGTCAGCAGTCCGCACTGGAGTGCCGTGCTCAGCGGCCTATCCGAGCTCAAGGCCCTTTGGACGGCCGCCGACGCCGATGACGACGACGACGACGACGACGATTTCTTCCCCGGCGACCAGAGCGACAATCAGTACTACAAGGGAGAAGAGGCCGGAGATGACCACGAGACGCCGCAGCGGCCACTGGCTGCGCCGACGCTGGGCAAGAGGCGCTTTCAGCTGCTGTTTGGCGGGCACAGGACGCACTTACTCGACGACATTCTTGGGGCCATGCCGGCGCGCGAGGTCGTGGATCGGCTGGTGCTGCTGTACTTTAACAACATGATGTTGCCGCGTGCGTCGACGACTACCCACACGAAATGTGCGTCTGAAAAAATAATCAGCTAACACGGGCTGCTGCTCTAAATAGTCGCCATCATCCATTCTGGGAGCTTCCTCCGCCAGGTACGCACGCAGAGACGCCATCACGACTACCGACTACTGCCTCGACTTACATTCGAGCTGACAATCACACTTGCTAGTATGAGAAATTCTGGACATCACCCCATGAAACACCCATCTTATGGATCGCCATGCTCTTTGGCATCATGAGCGTCGCGAGCCAGACCGAAGCTGCATGGGCCCTCTACAGCTACAGGCCTCCTCCCTCCTCCTTCGCCTCCAGCCGTAGTCCCTCTTCCTCAACACCGCAACCATCTCTGCCGCTCTCCTCCCCGTTCCCGCTCTCCACCCCTCCGTACGTCGACCAAGTCGTCGCCTGCCTCATCCTCGGCGAGTACACCAAGGGCGGCGCCTACGCCATCGAGGCCCTGCTGCACTACCAGTTCATCGAGGTCACCAGCTCCGCCGACGTTCACGCCGATGCGTGGCTGCTCTCGGGCATTGTGACCCGTCTCGCCTACCGCATGGGCTATCACCGCGACCCGTCGCATTTCCCGTCCCTCAGCGCCTTCCAGGGGGAGACGCGCCGCCGACTGTGGATCACCGTGCACGCCATGGACACCATGATCTCGGCGCAGATGGGCCTGCCGCGGCTCATCAAAGCGGGCGCCGCCGACGTACGCCTCCCGCGCAACCTGTACGACGCCGACCTTGATCCGGACTGCGCCACGCTGCCCCCCGAGCGACCCTGGACTGAGCTCACCCCGACACTGCACCTCATTGCTAAGCACCGCCTGTTCGTCGTCATCGGCACCATTACCGACTTCAACATGAGCGTTGGCCCCGAGGGTCCTGCGCCGACCGTGGCGCGCGAAAAGGAGCTGACCAAGCTCATCCAGGACACGTACGACCAGCTGCCGGACAAGTGCAAGTTTCACAGCATGCTCGGCTGCATCGCTGACAAGGCCGCCGACATTATCCACCGCATCGGCGCCAGCGCGCTGTTGCAAAAGGGTCTCATCGCCATCTACTGGCACCGGCTCATGGCGCGCGACGCGCGCGACGAGGCCGAGCAGCTGCGCGACGCCGTCGGTGACCGCGCGCACGTCCGCCAGTCGTACGCCATGTGCATCCGCGCCGCGGTAAAGGTGCTTGGCCTCCAGTCCATTGTCGAGAGCGAGTCCAAGCCCGGCGGCGGGCTCTTTCCGCAGCGCATCCAGGCGTCGTCCGTCATCAAGCACGAGTTTCTCATGAGCACCGTCGTGCTGTGCCGGCACATGTACCGTGTCCTGGCCGGCCCGTTTGGCTCCCCGCTGCTCGAGGCGGTTCTCGAGCGGCGCAGCGGAGGCGGCCATGATTATAACGAGGACAATGATGCGGACAGCGCGGCGCTCCCCGGTCCAGAGGTCGTCGAGGCCGCGCTACGGCACTCGCACAGCATCTGGCAGAGGGGTAGCGCCGTGTCGTCTGAGGCTAGGCGCATCTCGTCCATCCTCGACGCACTGTTTGGGAAGCTTGGAACCAAGTCTCCCTCACCAGATGAGTCAGTTCCGACATTGTCGTCGCCATTCGACGGCATCGACCCGGGACTGGCTCTGCTCGACGAATTCGGGCTTCTGCATCATTTACAGGATATGAATAGCTGCTTCGACATGTAAAACCAGAATTCTCTGGAACTCTGCTTTTTGGTCAATCGTCACTGTCTTTGAGATACCCATAACTGCGTAATAATGACGTCTTATTAGATGAATTTGTTTGGTTTGCCCGAGTGCTATATCGTGTACTGTGGCACCTTTTGGTAGGCAAAACTGTCCTCGCGGCAAAGAGAGATAATAACAGGCGCTGAAATCAAAACTTGTAGGCCGTTAGTCGTGTACGCCGGCCGTGATTTCGTAAACTGGTATCCCAGCACTACTTTGGTATAATGTAGTGTGCTCCAACAAAACACTAAAAAAGAGAGTAACACCGATGCACCGTTTGCAAACCATTGCGCCCAAATCCTCTCGCTTGTATAGTGATTTTCGTTTGCCCAAAAAGAAAACATCTATGTGCCTTTCGTATGCCAATTCAAAAGTTGTAGTAGCAGCCACTGTTGTGGGATGGAGTCATGGATCAAAACCATGATATCATGTCAGCTTCCGGCACCAAACTCTGTCGGTGGTGTGGGCTGAGAAGCGCCGGCTAGCTTGGTACGCTTCTTCTCCTTCTTCGCCCAGCGAAGACCACATGCGTTACACAAGGTCTTGGGCCCGCTTGGCCCCTTGCGCCATTCGGGAGAGTCAAGTGTACCTGGTAGCGACAATGTCAGAAGATATTATACGGGGCAACGTCGTCATGCCAAACATACCACAGTCAGTGCACACATATTCCTCAGATACTTTGATCTTCTTTTTCTTCTCGCCAAGCCGACCATCGCGATCCTTGGGAATAGCAATACCAGCATCGCCCTTGATTAGTGCAGGGCTGGTATTGCCAGTAGTAATGCCACGGCTGCGCTCGCCTTCCATGTAGCGCAAGCCGGTGAGCATCTCAATCGTATCGACGTGAGAGCCTCCCTCAAAGCGGGCCATCTTATCGCGCAGGGAGTCCCGGTGAGCAGCTGTGGCAGCTCCTTCGAGATTTTCTCTGGTAAGGGCGCCGTTGAACTCGAGACTGTCTGATGTACCCGCCATTGTCGTGTCGGCGCTAGCAAAGCCGTGCTGGGCCGTGGCAGATGAACCAGTCAAGTCGGAGAAGGTCATGTTGGAGACGGTAGCTGCAGACTGGCTCATATCTTGGGAAAGTTGCTGGCAAGCATCGTGGGCATCTGCTTGCTCTTCGCGCTGCAGCTCCGCGATTCGGCGCTTGAGACGCTCATTTTCTATCTTGTGTTCGAGAAAAGAGTCGAGGAGAGCGGCGTTTCGCGTAGGGTATGGGCGAGCGACCATGAAAACAGCTTGGCAGAAAGGAGACTGGTTGCTGGGATTGGGCGCAAACTTGGCGGCGGCGATGTGGGCATGGCCGACAGCCTCGAAGATGCCGTAAACACCATCCTTTTTCTTGAGGCGATAAAATATGCGAAGAGGATTGCCAGAGGCGATTGACTCGTTGAATTCAGCGACGAAAAGGCCCTGATCGTCGGGGTGGATGAGATCTTTAAGGAAGATGTCGCGCAGGTCGTCCTCGGCGTAGCCAGCTACCTCGGCGACGCTGCGGGAGACGAACTTGAGTCGGCCGTTGGCGTCTAGAATATGCAGCCAGTCGCGCAGCTCTTCGACAATTTTGGCGGGCCAGTTTCGGCGCTTCGTAAACTCGTTGAGAGTACTTGTGCCAGGGTTAGTGAGCTGCATGGGCTGGGGAGGGCCGCCGACGGGGGAAGGGCCTCCTCCGGGTATATTGTTGGAAGGCGGGTCGAGAGCGGAATTGGCATGGCTATTGCCCAGCATGGCGTCAAGGGCAAAGTCGGGGTTGAAACTGTCAAGGGAGGCGTCGGCGGAGCCAAAACCAGACATGCCCAAGTCAGATGTGAACTCGCCAAACAATTGAGCATCGGTAAAGCGCATGCCTTCGTTAGCATTATAGGGGCCGGGGTCGTCAACGGCAGAGGACATCATCATGTGTTGGGGTGCAGAGGCATCTGAGAGAAAGGCTAAATTTAAGTCGTTGTAGGCTGAGTAGCCGTTGGGGGGCGGCGCGTGTCCCTGGGACATGATGCAGAGGCCAGCCGCGCGAGCAATGGCATCTGGCGAGCTGGCAAGCTAGGTAGGTAGGTAGTTGGGACGTAGCAGGTCCCGGGCGGGCGGGCTCGTGCAGCTCTCTGGTGCAGCTCTTTGGTGCAGCTTTTGATCTGGCCAGTGGGGGGGCCAGAGACGGCGGCGGCGACGATGGGAAGAGGCAGCGAGCTATAGCCTCAGATGGGTAACTAGCGGATGTTGATGGTGGCGGATCCTAGACGTTGAGCGGGGAGCCAACTATCTAGATGGATGTCGAAATGTCGACGTGTCGAGATGTCGAGCGAGTCGTGTCTACCGAGGGCGGGCAAGGAGCAGGGAAATGTAAAAATAAGCTGGGATGGTACAAAGGATTTGAAGGAAGAAAAAATGAAGGCCTCGCGAGGCAGATGTGGAGGGGAGGAGTACTTTTTGGGCAGAGTTGGGATTGGCAGTCTTGGTAGGTAAGGTACGGATGGTGGGCGGTTGGCAAGTTTAGCAGGCTTAACCCTCTGTAACGTAAGGTAGTTAGTCTGGACTAGCACTGTTAGCAGGGAACAGATGATGACAATAAGCGGGCTCGGTGTGGACGTCGAGCGACTGAGCTATTCGTCTAGTTGTTTATTACGGATAGATTGATATCATTCGGCAAAGAGTTGAATGGAGCTGAGCTAGGGGCCCCAAGACGCCACTGAAAAAGAAACGTTGCTGATTATGCGAGTCTCGACACTTGTGCACTGCAGTCTGCAGCAGGGTCATTGCAGGTTGCAGACAGAAATTCAGGGTCGACGGTACGAGGGTCGTCGAGGGGTTCAAGAGACGTCCGGAGGAAAAGGTCCTGCCACAAAAGTGGGCGAATGGTCTGTATGTCTGCTCGGCGTTTTCCATCAGATAGCCCGAGGCAGAGAAAGAATGGGATCCAAACATGAAAAGAGTAATCCGTAGGCCGGATTTGCGTCTATGATCCGTATAATACTTGCTAAGGTGCCAATGCTGCATCAAGTATCCGTACCCAGTACCTAGGTCAATCTTTTCAAGGCCTGGGCCGGCGGGCAGGTACAGGCCCCGGTTGATGAGGGGGCGGTAATATCCACCGGCCCTCCACCGAGACCACCGAGACAGCCCGCAGCATGTCGCTAACGAGAGGAGGGGGGGGACAAGAGCGGTCGCAGCGTTCTGATATGTTTCTTCGTAGGTACTGTCTTTTTGATCACAGCTACGCACTGTAATTAGCTCGAGAGAAATAGACGCAAAGTTTTTTTCTCTTTAATTTCCCGCTACAACGTACTCTTTCTGGCCTCCTGGCTACCTGGGTACTAATAACTAATAATACATGCCAATCTCTCCACGGCATGGCGGGGCGAAGTGGTGCAGCGAGCTGGTGGATTCTTGCTGTGTGCACGGAGTAGTGCACATGGTAAATTGCTCGACACTCCAGGGAATTTGTCGTTCTTGGCCTTGTGGCGCATCGAAAAGTCGCTGGAATAGCATCCCTGTACCATCGTCTTTCCTCGCCAATCCTACCTAATCACGCCGCTCTAGCCACACCCGCATCATTCTCTAGCCACTTTGCTCCCGTCATTTTCGTCATGCGACGTCAGCTTTTGCCTCACATCCTGCATTACTAGTCTCTCTTTACTTTTTCCTTCATTTCATTCTCCTTTCTTATCACCACTTCCAGAGCCCGCTCGTCAATAATCTAGAGAAGAAAAAGAGGGGAATTTTCAAAACTCTCGCACCGCACAGAGCCCGCGAATTTTAATGTTGCATGTCAAGCCACCTTGGACAAACCTGCGCAACCTGCGCTACCTTTTTTGCTCCTCTTAACATTTTAGTACTTACTCTTGCATTCCGCCAATCAATCAGTCCAATCAGTGCCAGGCAACCAGCGCCAGGCAACTAGGCCGAACCTCAATCACTAATCGAAATCTCGCCGTGGTCTTTTCCCGCTCAGTGACCCTCACCTCGGTTTTGTCCTTTGCCTTGTACTGGTATCGCCTGGCTCGCGTATTTTGACTTTCCACGACCGCTTTAGTTGATACATCGCCTGCTCTTTCGGGAGTCTCCCCCGACCCTTGCCCTGACATCGGTCCTTAATATGTGATAGATATGTGATTGACATGTCGGAACTCAGCCGCTGTCTGATCTGCGCCGCCCCGGCAGAATTGGGCAATGCTCATCATACCTTGTACATCCTCCCACCTTCCGAACCTCGTGGCGGGTTCATGACCTGGCCATCCTTTCACAGCGGTTGAGTGGCAGCATAATCCGTATTCTTACCGGTACTCCGTAGGTACAGACCGCCCTTGACATTCGACAGGGCTCTTGCCCTGTCACTTCCTGGCCCCGTCTAGACATTGGACCCTGGATATGAAATCTGCACTGCATGTGAAATCTGCATGCCTTTATTACTCTGACCCTGTGATGTTCCCACATTTTCACAGGAGCGTTCCTTTCAGCAATCCAACACCCAAGTGCCTGCGAATAGTTACATATTGAAACCCGCTCTCCATCGTCGAGAGCTTGGCTAATCTGCTCAGCTCAGCCTGGAGCGGCACGGGCGGCATTTTCCACTGGCATAATCAGTGACAACTATCATGATGAAAGAGATGATAATAACGATGGAGACATGTCAATAATGACGAGGGGATATAGTTATCCTCAAACTACGGGATAATGTTGCTCCTGGCGCCAAATTCACCCCTGGGCCTCACGCAGCTGCAATACCTTTGGGCTGGAAATCTCAGGGCATCAATTTGTCCATGTGCTTTCATGCTTGACCACTAGCGACTGAACTTTACTGATAGTCTCGTAGTCAATGTGTTTCGCCTATTTTGACACTCTTCCACTTTTTTGTAGAATTTTCAGCGTAATCGCATCCGAAGAAGTCATCCGAATGACTTGACTTCAGAGGCCAGACTTGCACGTGAACACGCATCACCGTTAACGCGTGTCCACTATCGTCGCACCGCGTCTGCAGCTGGCTGCTTGCCTAGACTTGACCCACACCAAAGCCACCACCAAACCGGGGAACTGATCCATTCACGATCCGTCGCGAGCTTCAATCTTCTCATGTGCATGGTCTTACCTCTTGCAGGCGTCGAAAATGTCCCGCATTGAGAAGCTTTCCATTTCCGGCGTCCGCTCCTTCAGTCCGACCTGCCGCGAGGCCATCCAATTCAACACCCCGCTGACCCTTATCGTTGGCTACAATGGCTCTGGAAAGACAACCATCATCGAGTGCCTCAAGTATGCGACAACTGGCGAGCTGCCGCCCAACAGCAAAGGTGGTGCATTTATTCATGATCCAAAGGTGCGCATCATGATCCCAGAGTCGCGTCAACTACTTAACATTGCCTAGCTATGCGGCGAAAAAGAAGTCATGGCCCAGGTCAAGCTTCAATTCCGTTCCATCAACGACCGCCAGCATGTTGCCACCAGAAGCTTGCAGTTGACAGTCAAGAAGACCACTCGCTCGCAAAAAACTCTCGATTGCTCCCTCGTTGTGGTCAACAATGGCGAGAGGACCACCACATCTACCAGACAAGCACAACTCGACGAAATGATTCCCGAGCGACTGGGTGTCTCCCCCGCTATCCTCGATGCCGTCATATTTTGCCACCAGGACGAGTCATTATGGCCTCTCAGCGAACCATCGGCCTTGAAGAAGCGATTTGACGAGATTTTTGAAGCCTTGAAATATACAAAAGCCATCGAGAACTTGAAGGTTCTGCGCAAAAAGCAGGTTGAGGAACTGGGCAAACTTCAGAACGACGAGGCCCATAATAAGGTCAACAAAGATCGGGGCGAACGTGCCGAGAAGCGCATGACTGCTTTACAAGCCGAGATTGAAGCCGCGCGGGAGAAATGTGAAGCAATCACGGCAGAAATGCAAGACACACAAGACAAAATTAGACAAAAGCGCGAGCAGGCAAACAGCTTTTTGCAGGTTGTGCAAAATCTCAGCAACAAGCGTGAACAGCTCGAGTATCGACAAGATGCAGTCAATGAGCTGCGACAGAGAATAAATGAGCTTCCCGAAGACGATGCATCGCTTGAGCGTCAACTAACACAGTACGAAGAGAGTATGCGCCGCCAGAGTGAGGAGGCGAATCGAAACAAAATTCACTACAGCGAGCTCCAAGAAGATCTCGCCAAGTCTCGCAAAAGTCTTTCTACCAAGCTTGCCGAGCAGGGCAAACACCAGTCGGACAAGGAAAAGCACGAGCGCCAGCTGAAGATGCGCATGGAAATGGTGCAAGAGGCTGCGCAGCGTCACGGCTTCCGCGGTTACGACGACGACTTGACCGACGCGCTCATCAAACAATTTAATGACAAAATCCAGAAACTCTTTGCTGAGAAGAAGCGAGACCTGGAGCGTCTGCAAAAGGAAAATGCTGCGGAACTTGACAAAGCGTCTGCTACCATCTCGGAGCTCGAAGGACAAAAGGCTGCTCGAACACAAGATAGGCTTTCTGCCAAGCAGCGGATGGGGGCCATTGAGAAGAGAACAACTGTGCTGCAGAACGAATCTTCGTTAATAAACGTTGACGAAGGTCTGAAAGCTGTCCTTGACGGCCAATTGGGGGAACTCGAAAGTAAATTCTCGCAAGTTCAGCAAGAATTCGAGACAGCAGCTTGGGATAGGCATCTGACAGAGGAAAACACAAAGCTCTGGCAACTCGAGAGCGAGAGCGATAAGCTAGGGAGAGAGCTGATCGAATGCACCCGTCTCGCGTCTGAACGAGCTCAACTAGATTTCCGAAAGAAGGAGCTTTCTGACCGCAAACTCAAACTGACTACACTTACCGAGACCTGGACACCAAAGTTGGATAAACTCATTGGCGGCGGCTGGAAACCCGAGGACTTGGAAGGTAAATTTCAAACTTTACTCGCAGCCCAAAACAAATCTCTTCAAGAGGCTCGCCAGCAGCAAGAACAGACCCGCCAAAAGCAAGCCAAGGTAGACTACAAGCTCAAAACTATCAAAGAGACCTACGAACAAAAGCAGACACAGCAAAACGAGTGCAAGGAGCAAGTCCTCAAAGCGCTCCAAAGCGTGCGAGATTCCGCCGTAATAGAAGACTATCCGGAAGAGGTTTCGGCAACGGAGCAGCAAATAGAGACTTTGCGAGATGACCTCAGTCTCATTGATGCCCTCAAAGACTACTATACCAAGTGCAAGCGAGCACTTGATGCAAAGAAGACCTGTCTACTTTGCGATAGGCATTTTGATGACAACCAGACTGCTAGCATCGACCGGTTGCGCGCCAAAATTGACCGGCACTTGAACTCAAAGACGAAAGTAGAGGCCGAGCAAGATTTGAGTGAAGCCTCGTCTACCTTGCAATCTCTTATTGCGGTGCGAAGCCAGTATGATACGTACGAGAGATTGGGCAATGAACTTCCTGAACTGCGCAATGAACGCAAGTCCATTGAAACCGATTATGAGTCGATTGAAAGACTGCTTGAGGAGCACGATGCCGCTGTTACGGCCGAAGAAGAAAGGCAACGTGATTTGGACGACATGTCGAAGACTGTCAGCAACATCGGACAGACTCTGAGGGAGATTCAAGACTCTGAAAGCCAGGTTGAGCGCATTGCTTCCCAGCAACAATCTGCTGGCAGTGGTCGTAGTGCCGACGAAATCCACGAACTCCAAGGCACCGTCTCAGAACAGATGCGTGCCTCGAAAAATCGAGTTGCAAAACTCACAAATGACAGACAGCGAGCTCGAGACCAGATCAGTGCCCTTGAGCTTGAGAAAAGCGAGTTGCGAAACAGAATTAGCCTCACTTCAGGCCAACTCGATAAAAAGGAAGACTTACAAGGTCAAATACATAATCTCAAAGAAGAGCTAGCCCACCAACGCGAAGCCATTCAACGCGCTGATCAGGAGCTGGAAAAGGTCGAGCCTCGAATCACAGAAGCACGGTCTATTCGCGACGACACGTTGAAGCGCGGTAGGGAAAAAGAGCAGGCCATTACCGAGAATCGAGATTCAGTTGCCACGTCAATCAACGAGATCAAGATGATTGAGTCAGATATTCAAGACTATGAAGACCGCGGTGGCGCCTCGAATCTGGCTTCAAATCAGCGCGCCATTGCAGCTCTGGAGCAGACTATAACAACTACAGAAGCAGAAATTACTGAGCTGACGCAACGCACAAACAAGCTGAAACAAGACATTGACAATGGGGACCGCACAAAGGAGAATATCAACGACAACCTGAATTACCGCAAACACCTGAGAACACTCGAGGTTTTACGAGACGAGATTGACGAGTTGGAAAATCGGAATGCTCATGAAGACTATGAACGTCTGCAAGGCGAAGCGCGCGCCCTTGAGAATCAGTCCAATAGACTCTTTGCCGAACGAGGGTCAGTCATGGGGGCAATGAAGACCAAAGACGAGGATCTGGACCGGCTCCTCAAGGAGTGGGAAATGGACTACAAGGACGCCAAGCAAAAGTACCGCGAGTCGCACATTCGCGTGGAGACGACCAAGGCAGCCATTGAAGACCTCGCGCAGTGCGGTTCGGCCGTGGACAAGGCCGTGATGCAGTTCCACGCCATGAAGATGGCCGAGGTGAACCGCATCGCGGGGGAGCTGTGGCAGAGCACCTACCAGGGCACCGACATTGACACGATCCTGATTCGCTCCGACAATGAGGGCACGACGGGGCGGCGCAACTACAACTACCGGCTGTGCATGGTCAAGCAGGACGCCGAGATGGACATGCGCGGGCGCTGCTCGGCGGGCCAAAAGGTGCTCGCCAGCATCATTGTCCGCCTCGCGCTCGCCGAGTCGTTTGGCGTCAACTGCGGCCTCGTCGCCCTCGACGAGCCCACCACCAACCTCGACCGCGACAACATCAAGAGCCTCGCCGAGAGCCTGCACGCCATTATCCGCGCCCGCCAGGCCCAGAGCAACTTTCAGCTCATTGTCATTACCCACGACGAGGAATTCTTGCGGCACATGCGATGTAGTGACTTTTGCGATAGCTTCTTTCGCGTCAAGCGTGATGAGAAGCAAAATAGCGTCATTTCGCGCGAGAGCATTACCAAGATTTTTTAAAGCAGTTGCTTTTTCTTTTTTTTGTTTCTTCTCCTCTCTTTAACAAGAAAGAGTGTATTATTGTTGCATCATGGGGCATTGTTCAGGCTTGCGTTAAAGTGTGTATATATATATATAAAGATATTTCGGGCCTTTTTCTCTTTTTACTTGTACTCGTGGAGTGATGATGGTCCTAAGTCTTTTTTATTGAGTGAGGGATGGTATCAACAGAGAGGTTCAAATGAAAAAAAGTGTAAATGCAAACACCATAATCTTCCCGCACGCCAGAAGAAAAAAAAAGAAAAAAAAAAAAAAAAGAGGTGATACTTAATAACACTTAAAAGTCAACAATAAGAAACCCATCATCACAATCGTCGTGTGACTTTTTCCCATCCCCATCTCCTCTCAGCACCCTCATTCCTCCTTGAGCTTCTTGGCCGGCTCCCCCGCGGCTGCTTCCTCTGCCTCGCGCTTCGTCCCCAAAGCCTCGGGGCTCTGCGCCGCCGCCGCCGTCTCTTCCTCGTTTTCCCGCCTCTCCTCGCGCTCCTCGCCCTCTGGCGTACGCTTCCGCCCCTGCGCCGTGTGGTGGTGCTCTTCCTCCTCGGGCGGGCGGCCGACGGCGGCGGCGAGGTCGATGCCCTGCATCTCGAGGCCGCCCTCGCCCATGGCGCTCGTCGTGACGGTCTGGGGACCAGTATCGCCCACGCCAATCTCGTCAGGCCCGCGGGCGTGCGGTACCTCTTCTTCTTGTTCTTGTTCTTCTTCCTCTTCTTCTGCTCCTTCTTCCGCGTCCGCGGCGGGGCGATGCTGTCGGTGCTGCCCCTCCTCGTCCGCGGCATCCTCGCCATCGTCGTGCTCGTCGCCACGCGATACGCCAGCCTCGTGCTGCGACTGGAGCGGGTGGTGCTGCATGGCGTGCTGCTGCTGCTGCTGCTGCTGCTGTTGTTGCTGTTGCTGCTGCTGCTGGTGGTGGTTACGCGATAGCTGACTGACGGGCACGACGCCGGCACGCTGCTCCTGGCGCAGCAGCTCCCCCTGAGTGACGCCGCGCGCGTGGCCCGTCGACGGCACGCCGTTGACACTCACCGATACCGTCTCGATGCTACCCACACCGTTGGGCCCGTCAATCGTCTCGGTGCTCTCGCTGTGAATCAGCGCACCACTGCCACCACCACCACCACCGCCACCGCCGCCGCTGCTACTCCCGCCGGCCGTGCTACCGCCGCCGCTACTCGTAGACACCGCGTCGACGCTCTCCGGGCTCCGCCGCGTCAGCCACGGAATCGGCGTCAGCAGGGCGCCGCCCAGCGCCTCGTCGGAGCCCACGGCCGCGTGGGTGCTATTGGCGGCGGTGCTGTGTGCGCCGACGGTCGCCGTTCTCCAGCTCACAGACGCGGCGGGGTCCTTGCTCCCGTCGACGCCGTTGATGTGCATCGACGACATGTCGGGAATGGCGGGCGGCAGCGGGTACGTGCTGAGCCCCGAGGTGACTTGCACGACGCGGTCGACCGCGTGCAGGTACGTAGCTAGGGCGCGGTAGTGCGCACGCGGGCGTAGTATGAGGTCGGCCAGGCGCTGTAGCGTATGTGGCGGCGCGTGAACAAAGGTCTGCAAGTGGCTCTTGATGTCTCCGAGCATGGCGGCGAGCTGGACCGGGAGCTTTGGCAAGCTGCTGCTGCTGCTGCTGCTGCTGGGGTCTGCCGCTATCGACCCTGACGGGGGATCGCCGGCGGATGTTTCTGGCTGTGTGTTTGGTTGTGTTGTTGCTCCCTCGTTTGTCGTCTCTGTGCTGTTCTCGTTGCCCGTTTCCATGACGGCATCTGTGTCGTCGCCGCCCGCCGCCGTAGCTTCTCTGGGCTGTTCAGGCGTCTCGTCGGCCTTTTCCCCCTCGTTCTTTGTCTCGTCGTCGGTACGAACCGGCGCATTCTCCTTGTCGGCCTCTTGCGAAGAGGGCTCAGCGATTGGCGACGGGGACGAGGACTCGCCGTTATCAAGGGACCGTCGCAGTTGGCGCGGCGGAGACAGGTCGGGGATTGTGAATACCGTGTGCGCAATCTGCCATGAACATCCGATCGCCGTTAGCCCAATTTCTTTTTTTGCCTCTCGCCAGCCAGTCAGTCAACCATGTAGCAGCAAGAACCTATACCTTGTCTAGGCGCGCAAGAATATCAATCTGCAGCGCAGGCCAGGCGTCCCTGTAAATTCTCCTCGTTAGCAAAACAGCGGCGGCGACGCACGCGGCGGTCGGGGTTCCGCGGCTAGGTAGCAAACGTACAGCTCGAGCGTCTCGCCGGCCGCAACCCTGACGAGCATGTTATGATCATCGTCAACGTCCATGGCGGTTCGGTCGCGCGCGTGGAGAGTGGTATGTATGGACGCGGCGGCTGATGAATAGAGGTGGGAGAGGGAGATGTCGGGCGTTGCAGAGAGCGGTTTGCGACCTGGCGGCACGCAATAACCTTTTTTTTGTTAGGTAGGTAGGTACGTGCCTTGGGTCGGTCAGCGCCGCGCCTCGGGTGGGGGCCGCCGTCCGGCGAGCTCGTCGCATATGTAAAAAACATTTGGTTTTGGTATAAAATCATATTTTGCTATTGATTGTATTCCTGCAAAGAAGGTGCAGTAGAAATTTGCTCATCATCGCTTCAACTAAAAGACTCGTCGCTGGGCTACACGCGCCTTGTTACACTCTTTACCGTCGCCCATCTCACCATCACTCACTCCTTCCCAATGCCCCGATACATCCACTTTGCCGGATCAAACACCACCTCAAACTCGGTACCCTCAAAGACGCCCACCGACGCACACAAGTCGTGAAATCCCTCCAAGCCCGTCACCGGCAAGTCCTGCTCCGCGTCCGTCTCCTCGTGTAGGTCCCACCCGCCCGCCTCGACGCCGTTTTTGGTGAAGAAGATGTGCACGCTCGCCTTGTGCGCCGCCTCGCGCGACGGCCCGATGCGCAGCCCGATGCCGTATACATCACCGCGGTTAAACGCGACTGTAAAGTCCTTGCCGCCCCAGCGGTCGTTGATGTACTTGTGCCCGTCGTCGCCGTGCACCGCCAGCGACGCGCGGTGCCACCCGGGCAGCCGGAAGCCCGGGTACGGCAGCGCCGTGTAGCCCAGCGCCACGTTGGCCGACGGGCTGTTGCGGCTAATCTTTACCTCGTAGTAGACGCTCCGAGGACGCCCCGTGCGTGTCGGGTCGTGCTCCGACACCACGTACAGCGGCGGGTAGCTGATGAGCGTGGCGTCAGGCGCGTCGCGCGGCGTGCTGACCGCCCACGCGCCCGCACCTTGCCAGGTCAGGCGGCCACGGAACCCCTGGGGCTCGATGAGCCGAAAGTTGCTGCTGCGTAGAGCCTCGGCGCCGGCGGCGTCGAGCCGGATGGGCTGCGTGAGAGGGTACTGCGCGCACCAGGCCTCGCCGGCTTCCGCCTCGGCCTCGGTTGAGTTGTTGACCGGCGAGGCGTCGTAGCCGCTGAAAATGGCCGGCGGCGGTGGAAACAGCGACGTGTCCGGCACTGCCGCTTCCCAATCGTGCTGCTGCTTCGGCGGCTGCGAGGGACCGTCCTGCGGCGGCGCTATCCAGCCCGTGTTATCGCGGCTCTTGCCCGGGGGCGGGCCGGGCGGCGGCGCGTACTCGTCCTGCGCTTGCTGCGACGGCCGATGTGACGGCGGAGGGCCGGGAGGAGGCGCAAAGTCGTCCTGCGGCTGCTGGGTGTGCGAGGGCGGAGGACCGGGCGGCGGCGCGTACTGCTCCTGTCCCGGCGCGCCGTAGTTGCTGGGCGCCGATCCGCCGACGCCGGCATTGTTGAACTGGCCCTGGCCGGGAGGGTTGCTGTAGGGGCTGTTGCTGGCAGAGCTGCTCATCTTGTGGTCTTTGCTGCTGCTATTATTAAAACCGGCGTTGTCGTTACTCTGGCTCTGGTAGTTTTGAGCCGGTCGTGGCGGCGGATCGTCCGACCTCTCGTTCTTTCCTCCGAAACACATTATGACGTCTTGAGTCGATGTGAGTTGCTTTTGATGTAGGGCTGAGTTGGGGGCAAAGCTGAAACGCCTCTTGGTGCTGTTACAAATTGACAGGACAAACGTGTTTTGGAGAGAACTTGCAGCACAAAGGCGGGACCAAGGAAAATATATACGACAAAGTTGATGAATTTGCGCAGCCGCCTCGCGCTGCTCGCTTGTGATGTACAAGGAAGGCTAGGAAGGCTAAGGATTGGGGCTGAGGCCGCCAAGTCAGCGCCTCGTCGCCGGTCGGGGCGAAGCTTCCTTGTCGCGGGGCACAGGGCGCCACAGTGGCCAGTTGCAAAGCGGCAATGACATGCACAATTCAAATCACATCACAAGTGGCGCGCCATCGACTTTTTTATCTAGGTTATAATAAAAGTCAAACTTTGTTGATGTATGTATTTTCATCTAGAATGTGAGTATTGTTTACATTCGGCATTGGCCTTTCTAGTCAAAAAGAACAAGATGAAAATGATTTCCATGCTTCGTCCCAAGAAAAAAAAAAGAAAAAGTGATTACAAACTTGCGTATTTACTTAAGCGCCCCAGCTGCTCGCTTCATTGGGGTTTGGATAAAAGAATGCCACGACGGCAATAATCACATAGACGGCACACAGCAACGCTCCTTCGAGATAGTTACTCCGACCGTCCAAAACAAGAAAGTTGACGATGAAAGTCGACACAAAGAGGCAAACCGTCTCAAACAGCGTAAAATACAGCGTCATGTCGCGATTCATGATCCAGCCCAGAATGACAATCAGTGGCGTGACAAACAGGGCAATCTGAATAGAACTACCAACAGCGACGCCGATAGCCAGATCCATTTTATTCTTCATCGCCACCGTAATGGCAGTGACGTGCTCGGCGGCGTTGCCAACAATCGGAAGAATGATGAGACCAATAAAGATTTCGCCCACACTTGACGAGTCGCTAGTGACGTCCTTGATGGAATCAACCAAAAACTCGGCACAGGCGGCGACCAGACCGGTTGTGATCAGAAGCAGAACAACGGCCGCCCACTTGGTAAGATGGCCATCGTCGTCAACCTCGGAGTCGATGGCGGCAGGAACAGTGCCGGTGCGGAAAGTTGACAGAGGGACTTGTGCGGGAAAGAAGGCACCAGGAGCACGCACAAATTGCTGCGGCTGAGAAAGCCTGTCCGGCAGCGAGTTGGTGCGGCGAATACCGTAACGAACGCGGGGAACGGGACCAGGAGCGGCGGCAGGAAACAAATCGGTAGGATCAGGCTTCTGAACAAAGACGCTAGGAGCAAGATTGCGAACAGAGATGGTTCGAAGAGCCTGAAAAGTAGGACGCTTCGTCGCTCCAGGTTGCTGCTGCTGCGTGTGAGTAGCACCGTCGCTAGAGGGGAGGGGCGGGACGTGATCCTCCTCAGCCGTGGGCGGACCGTCTTTGGCCAGTGCAAAGTCAATGCGCTTGGGCTCGTTGTTGTGTTGTGCTGGCAGAGTACCGTTCTCTACAGGCTGACCGTCGCCAGGCAGACTCTCGCGGCGGAAGGAGAACCTGCGGCGTCTCTTGCCTGAACGATGCTTATGACGACGCTCTTTACCATGCTTCCTCGGGACCTCGTCTTCCTCAATGGCCTCTTCTGCATTCTCCGACGAAGACATTCTGGAGAAAAAGGGGGGCTTGGTCGACGATGTTTCGGCATGTCCGGCGTCGTCTTGAGGACTGCCAGTGTTATTGGTTGCGATGGAGGAAGAGCGGCCGTCCTTGTCGTAGCCATCCTGGGAAGTGGTAGAGGACTTGGTACGGCGTCGGGGGCGAAGAACCTTGCGCATCTTCTTGCGGACAGTGTATCTGGAGCGGCTCGAGTCGTCTGAATCGGAGCTGGACGAGGAGCTCTCGTCGGAGCTGGACGAGTTGAGCCAGCCAGCAGCAGGGCCAGGAAGGGCTTCAGCATCTACAATGTGCTGGGGCGTCGACTCGTACATATATGCGTGTGACTTGAGCTGGAAGAGCAGGTACATGATGTAGACAATGAGCAAGATGACACTAGTGCCACGACTGATCTTGAGGGAGCGCTCGTTGGCTAGGTTATCATCCTTGAAGGAGGCGTGAAAGGCTGTAGGAAGGACCAGGCTGATGACGCTCAAACTGAGGAGGCAAGCACTCATTTGGGTGACGGTGCTATTATAGACTTGCTCTCGAAAGCGCAGGCCGCCGAGGAAGAAGCCCATACCGAGGATTAGGAGCAGATTGGCCAGAATGGAGCCGAGGAGAGAGGCCTGGACAATGCGAATCTCGTTCTTGGAAAGGGCAATGATGAAGATTATGAGCTCAACGGCATTACCAAAGGTAATGTTGAGCAGGGCCCCGAGAGCGTCTCCCATTTTGGAGGCGACAGACTCGGTAGCGTGACTCAAAAGACCGGCGAGAGGGATGACGGCAATGCAATTCATGGCAAAGACGATGCCGCCGTTGATGCCTTTAATGTTGGCAACGATGATGCCGACGGGGACAAAGATGAGCAAAAGGTTCATCCAACTGTAGGTGACAACGAGCCAAAAGCTTCTACGAGCCTCCTGCATCAAGGTCCGGCTTTGAGGCTGATTGATGTTGGTGCTGACATGACTGCCGGTGATGACGTCAGTGTCTTGACGGTTGAGGTTATCGAGACCGTGTTCCTTTGTGTCTAGGACAGGCCCCTGCCCCTCGTCTTGCGGTGATGCGACAGAGGAGAGGTTGTTGCTGGACAAGCCGCTGACGGAGCGGCCATCGAGGCCATGCGGGAAACGGGGAGCGCTGCGGTCATCGTGGCGAGTAGCACGAGAGCCTGCGATAGGACCGGTGGAGGCACGTTCGAGACCATTCTTCTCTCTTGTTGCGTAAGCGGCGGCAGAGGAGGAGGTATTGCTGGTGGTGAGGGGGTTCGTGTTTGCTTTGGAGGAAGCCGACGCGTTGCTTAGTGAGCCGGGCGACGGTTGGATGCGGCCGGCGTGTCGGATGGGCGACGAGCGGCCGGAAAGTCCGGATTGGGCAGTTGCAGAGGTAGACGGTTGGCCATCTATATCGGGAGGGACAGGAGAGTCTTCCTTCATCGAAGAGGTTTGAGCTGAAGGGCGTAGAGGTATTGGCAGAGTAGGGGTAATGAGGTCAATCTACAGGCTGCAGCGGGAAGAAGAGGGAAAGAGTATGTAGTTATTATCTGGCGTTGAAGTCTGTAGAGGAGAAATGATGAATCACGATGTTGCAGAGAGGGAGGGGCAACAGATGAAGGAATGAAGAAAGCCAAGAGGGCAAAGACGGGAAGGGAGATGTGATGTGGGGGATCTATGTAGGCAAGTAGATAGATGCACAGATTCACTTGTGGCTCAAATCAAGCTTGCAAGCCAAGAGGGGCGAGGTACCTACGTACCGTGCAAGATGACGCTAAGACGCAAGGTACCAGTATTTCCGTGTGGCGGTGTAAAAGGCAAATGAAACCCGTGTTTGTATTCTTTGACGAGAAGATGTATACAAGAAGATGTAGAAGGGCAGACATGAATCGGCAGTGAACAACAATAAAGCAATGTATACCTCTTCACAGCTGATTCTGCAAAATTCAGGATTCCAGGCAATGGCTGACGTTTGTTTGATCCAGAGCCGGAAATGCTGGTGCACAGTGACGCGCACACGTTAGTGGCTACCTAGTGGCCTCCAACGCCGCCACTCAACCTTGCTTGATCCAAGACCAGCTGCCAAGTGGACCCCCAATATGCTAAAAACACAGCGGTGCTGGGTGCCACCCGCTAACAATACAATGGGCCACCCTGCTGAGCCACAGTTGTTTGGCACACCATGTCACCCCCACTCGCCACGCAATCAGGGAACCACGCCTCACATTTGCTTCCCAAGATGCTGCATGTTGACGTGATTTAAGCTTCATAATAAAATTGTGGCTTGCATTTTGCAGCAGTCCCCGACCAAATACAAGATGCCGCGCTATGCTGGCTGGTACACGTCGCGAATTCCCCAGCTATACAAGAGATGTAGTCGTCATAGGTCGTGCGAGCCCCCGTGGTGAAAGTGCATGAAATCGCCAGCTTATCGGGAGTTATAACGTCAGCGGAGTTGAGGTCCGGGAACCTTGTTTTGCATGCTAACAAGCCACTGTATGTTAGGGGGGCCCACGGGTGCAGGATAGATGGATCCAGAAAGGGGCCTACTTTAGACAATAGAGAAAGTAGCAACATGGACGACAAGCACTCTTATTAAATTGCCCACTATAGACCGAATTATCTAGTGTATTTGATGATGATAATTCTAAATTCGTAAAACATGTGTTTCGAAAGCTACACTCACTGGCCTTGCTGACGCGTTTGCTCGAGCACTGTCGGCTTGTTTTGTCACCCAGTTTGGGGGTCCAAGCTACAGACTACAGTTGTAATCACCCCGACATTGTTAGGCTCCGTTATTCCGCCAGCGCCACGGCTCAGATAGATGGATTTGCCTTTGGGCTTGTGATTTGGCCGTGTCTACAGACCTGTCAACTCTCGCCATCTCGATTTGTTCCAGGCCAATAATAACTTGGCACTTCTTCATCTTGCGCGCCCCGCCCCCACCCCCCTTCCCCGGTCCGATTTACCAGGGAACAGAATGGGGGTCACACAAACACTCAGGTTGTACACTTGCAAGCAGATCATTCAGATCACCGTGCTTGCTTAGGCGCGCCAGTCTTGAAATTGTTACTCAAAACATTTCTGCACCCTATCCGCATGAGTTGGCTTCAGTTTTTTCAAAATTTCGCAGAGTTGCACGACGTCCAGCTTCTCCTCAAGAAATCTTGGAAACTCTGTGCGAGCCTTGTCGCGCAGTAACGAGTCTTTTGGATATGGCATTGATCGTACCTTGCTGATATGCTCGGAATACCATCTAGCATAGGAGACTGAATCTGAATCACCGGATTCAAAGCCGCCGTCGTGTTAGTGCACAGCCATATTCGAAATCTTCCCGGCGCGCTTGAAAAACTGGCATCACAGTCAAAGTCCTATTCTCCACGTCAATTATTATCATTTATTTCCTTTGACGGATTTCGTCGCAAGTTTTCTGTTCCAGTTCCGCTTGTCCCGCATATTTGGTGGAATTCCAATCTGTAGTCGCTCTTTGGTTGTGGCGGCTTTGAGGCTACCTGCGCGCAGGCCACCTGCCCGCTTGCGATGCATCGAAGAGGATGGCCAACTGCTCAACCAGATGCGGACGGTCATATTGTGTTGAATTAAGTTGATGCTTGCAAATACTGACTCGTATGTACGCCCGTTAACTATCAAACTGCCACATTGGCAACACTGCCTACACTGCCTTGGATCTGCAATGTTAACCAGACATGCCATAGCCAGAAAGCCGTCGATTAACGTAGTTACGGCATCAAGAAACTAGAAAGCAGAAATTACCCCCGATGGTTCAATGTCGTTTGCTCGGTCATAATCTTAAATGTAAGCCCCAGCATCTGATTGCCGCATACCCATATAAAATAAAAGCCCTTGCTCAGTTTGGGCACATCACTCCATTGCAGCTGTCTCTGAGGTGTTGGCTGGAGCCGAGTAATTCGCATCGACGTCTGTTTAGCAAAGCACGGACAAGAGAAATATAACGGAAATAGTTTAAAATATGCTTATATCTATCACTACCTACAGACCAGGGCTGTTTTTAATCATGCCTGTAGTGTAGCAACTTTCAGGCCACTGTAGTCAATAGTCAAAGCACGTAGATCCAGCCGCAACAACATCTACCTGCTAGTTGAGCCAATGCGCGCCCTCTGTCCAAAAAATGATTTGCGACCCCAGCTTTTCGACTGCATAGTCTGTAAACTCCTGTCGAGTGAATTTTTTGTGCGTATATGGGTTAATTTCACGCAAGTCCGGCTCCTGTACGGCAATGACGCTGATGGGAACTTTGTTGCGATACTCGTGGAGAAACGGGTACGAGTTGTCTTCCTGGCCAGGTTTATAAGGGATGAGATCCGGCCCGCCGATACCGACTCCATGCTTGGCGAAGAAGTCAAACGATTTGACAAAATAGTTGTGTGTGTCCTCCGGTTCGCACGGCCAAAAGTTGACGTACTGCACCACGTACGACTCGTGAAAGACACTGGCGGCGTATGCGGCATTGTCCAACTCGCCTTCAAAGTAACCGAGATGGGTAAAGTTGTTCTTGTTCTCTTCGGGTATGATTGAGGTTTCCGCCAGGTTCAAGCCATAGATGCGGCCGTCGAGCTCAGTTGACATTGCCTTGAGCAGAGCCTGAAACCGCTGACGCACGTGCTCGTTCCACTGCGCGGCCACCCATCCAACAATTTGAAAGTGTGTATCGCAGTTGCTGCCGTCGCACTGCGGGACACTCCCATTTTTGTAGATGGGGGCATGCAGATACTTTGGCACAGGGTTGGAATCGATGGAAAAGGTCCGATCCTGCAGCTGAACCCAGAGCCTCTTGCCCTTGGCCTGAACAAGCTCGAGGTCGTGGTTGATACGGGAAAAGTCGTATTCGTCTTGCTGAGGCTCGAGGGACTTCCAGCTGTAGAGTGCCTGAACGCCCTCAATATCGGGTCGGTCCAGTAAGTCGAGGGTCTTATTGTCAATCTGGCTTGTGTAGAGCCAGTTTCTGACCGTAGTGTTGCTCGCAGCTGGAGCAGCAACCGCTTGTGAAGCAAATGCTGCTAGGAATAGGATCGGAAACATGTTGAGTCAAATTGCAAAGTAGATGGTGAGATTGGATGGGTTGAGGAAGCAGATTTTGACGGTAGCTCATGGGGCCCAGCCTTCTTTATATATTCAAGTGAGAAAGTTGAAAACGACCAAAGTTCTAATAGTGAATAACCTAGCTCTCTTGAAGCCGCTCGGCGACCTGTTTGCATCAGCTCAATCGTTACCACTCAGCCACCGACGAAAAGTTTCTCCAAGAAATCAAGACCAGCAGCTGGCTCTCTGATGCGGAAATGGGGTGTCTGCCTCGGTGATGTCTCTTCACATTTCGACTCGGCAAGAGCGGCACGGATACCGCGAGCCGAGATCCGTACTTCACCCACAGCATCGCGAGCAAAGGTAGCCACGCCAAAAACCTTGAATAAGCCCTTCATAGGGTAGACAGCCAGTCGCGGGTTTGATCAGTGCTTATGACCTCGGGGTAGCTATTTATAACTCTCAACCATATCCGTTTTATTCCACAAAAAGTCAGGCAATAAATATTACCGTCTGTGCTAGCCCTATAGGGAAGGCTTAGCTCACGTTTCGGATCTCTACCGAGTAGTTGCGCTTGGCCTCGGGCGCCGATCCCGGTGATCACTGACTGGGTATCGCCCGAAAGCCGGACGTGAACGACGCAGTCATGCCTGGTGCCTGGTTAGTTAGTTTGGCCGCAATGCGGGAAAAATGTATGAAGCGGCGTACCATATGGGACATTTCTGCTTTAGCCGGTCCCACAGACTGAACCGCTTGCGCAAAATTGAAAAATTTCACCGTTTAGGCTATTGGTCAAAGCCGCTAAACGAGTCAGCAAGAAACCCCTTTGAAGCGGACAGCCAACAGAACATGACCTTGCCACAGCCCGTCCTAGCTCGTATGAAAAAACATGTTGCTCGTAAAGCTTACGTAGATGTGGCAAACCCGAATAATGCGCCAACAAACATTCGCGCAACGGAAGCACGGCAGCCTAAAAGGCTGCTTGCTTGCGCATATCCATACACGGATGGAATAAGTGATGAAAATTCCATACTCCATACTCCATATACCATACGAGCTGCCCGTATTCTATACGTATAGAATAAAGTCAGCAAATTATTGACCCTACCAAACTAATGTAGGTGGGCGAAATTACTAGGAATTTTTGTTAGGTTTCTGGTTTAAGAATAGCATAAACACAGCACATCGTAATATAGTAAATACAGCATATCCTAGGTAATTAGGTTAAACTCTTCTATAAAATTAATTTTATAATAATTTAAGTATTTATAAATAAATTATAAGCATTAAGAAAGTTTAAACTATTATAATTTATATAATTTATAATATTTTTAATAGCTACTTTATTAAATATAGCCCTCTTATTAGCCTATATTTACGTTAGACCTACTTTTATACCTAGAATTTTTACTGTAGGTAAGAGCCTATAATAGAATAATCAGTAATCAACACTAACTAAAACGACCCGTAATACGTCCAAATTTTCCCTGACGGGACCAACAGCATCATCTCTAACTTTGCAGAATTGGGGCTCTGATTCACTCAAACTCTCCTACAACGAATATTACTGCCGCGAATCTGCACGTATGAGCTCATTCAGCGCGCTGCCCTCCTCCTTGATCAGCTCTCCGGGCGAGCCGTGTTGTAACAACCGCCCGTCTCGAATAATAATGACCTGGTCAAACTTTTCAATACCAACAAGTGTGTGCGTCGTGGTGATGACTGTCTTTTCTGCCGTGAGGCTCAACATTGCATCCATCACTTCCATGTGACGCGCCTGGGACATTCTGCCCGACAAGTTGTGTTAGTGGCCCATCTTCCACCAAAAAAGCAAGCAAAAGTGCTGGACTGAAGAGAGAGAGAGAGAGAGAGAGAGCGACTTACCCGCTTGTAGGCTCATCTAGTACGTAAACGGTAGAATTGCGAAGCAAGGTTCGACAGATGCCAATGTGCTGCTGCCAGCCCTCGGAGAAGTTGCAGTCGTTCCACTTGCTGTCAAGCTTGGACACGACTTCTGCGCACATTTCGGCCGCCATGACTTGGCCGAGAACTTGCTCGATCCTAGCATCAGATTCATCTCCATCCGGGTCCAGATTCTCCCTGACACTGCCGTTGCTGTTTGCGACAAACTTTTGAGGATGCCCTACCAGGCGACGACGCAGGGTGCCGCTCTCGACGTGGGAGAGCTCAACCCCATCTACATGCATGGTGCCGCCGGCATGGTTGATGAGACCGAAGAATGCTTGTAGCAGGGATGTTTTCCCACTTGAAGGTCTAGTCAGTCCAGTAGTCACGCAAAATCAGCCAAATTCTTGACTTGCCTGCCTGTTCTGCCGAGAATAGCCACTTTGCTTCCCGATGCTATTTTGACGGAAATGCCGCTCACAACAACATGTGATCTAAACCGTTCAATATTAGCCAAACTTCAAAATGTGGTTCTAGTAATTGAAGACATACGCATAGTCAAGAGACAAGTTGTCCAACTCGACGCTCCCCCTCTCTGGCCAAGAGTCTCCAACGGCTGCCGCTGGCGGCACAATCTTCTCCTGCGGCGTGTTATGCGTGTAGTCAAAAATTCGCTCCATCGAAGCCATGGATGTCTCGAATCTTGTCCACCACGTGAGCAGCAGCATTGCATCCTGACCGAGCGTAATAGTGTTGACCAGCGCCAGTCCGCCCCAGCCAGCACTCTGCGACCCTCCCAGCCCAACCAACAGCCCGGCCACTGCCGTGGCCAAGCACCCGTTGAGAAGATTTAGCATTAAAATGGCCCAATTCTGCACAGAAGAAAAAATGTAGCCCATGAGAAGCGCATGATGTACTTTGTCGGAGATGACGTGCGACAGAAACTGCTCGGCTCGCAGCGCCCGAACTGTCATGCGTCCCGGTACCGTTGCGCTGGCTACCTCGAGCATGGGCGCCCGGGCGGCAATGTGCAAAGTGCGAAGTTGGAACGAGCTTGATAGGTAGATTCTCTGTAGGAACCATAGCAGGGGCAAGAGGACGACGAGCGAGATGATGGCGTAGGGCGAGCCAATTGCAATAACCACAAGCGATCCTAGACTGGAACCCAGGGCTAGATTTTGTCAGTAGCAAGACGTCATGGACCGTTCTGGATGTCGTCTTTTACGTACCTGTAGTTAAATTTTCCAGGGCTTGCGGCAAGTCCAAATCGACAGCTTCAATGTCATTCATAAATCTTGAAAGTATTAGAATCAGTCTCTGGTCAAGTACGAAGGAAGGATGCATACCTGTTTACCGTCTCGGATTGACGCAGCTCAGTGGTGGATGCTGGCGTTCTAGAGCCATGTCAGTTCTCGACTTATTGTATGTAGGTTTTGGTGAGTCTTATTTGTACTTTACAAGAACCGAGAGCATATTTTTGTGCAAACTGATGCTGCTTCTGGGCATAAGTTTCATAAATACCATTCTACCCCCGTCGCGTTAGTATGCAGTAGGATTGCAAGGCCGAATCAGTCTGCACCTGATCATGGCAAAGGACACACATAGTCCAGCGCCAGCAAAAGCGGCATATACACCGATATAGTAGCCGGTGTTGATATTCTTGTGCAAACGTGCATATTGGCCGGCCCAGTGAGAGAGCCAAAACGCTGTTGCCCAAAATGTGTCAGCCTCAAAATTCCCATGCCTTTTTTCCCAAACGAGCCAGGTTTTGCACTCACAGCTTCCCTTGTCAAGCCCAACCCGGACGAGTAAAAGTATTGCAACAAAGATCAGGCTTGGCAAAGAACCCAAGGACGTTAGGTATATGCGATGAGCCTCGAAGCTCTTGCCTCCGACTTTGTCGGGTGCCTCGCCCTCGTCAATGGTTGCTTGGACACTATGCAACAATCGCTCAGTGTCGTTTGCAGGTTCAGAAGTAGTAGGCGTGTCACTCTCTCTGAGCACTGAGCTATTGCCAGCTTCTTCCACAATTGATTCGTCAGTACTGGGATCGGCCACAACCCTTTCGACCAGTGTCAATGACCCAGAGTCCAGCTGGTAATAGCGGACGTTTGCAGCACCATACAACATGGCGGGTGCTGGCATGCAACGTAAGCGGAGGCTAAATATAGAGCCAATTATACGGGGACCTTACCCTCAGTGCAGCAAAGTATGGCAGCGGCGCGCCGTTTCTGCAGATAGCCATTGGGCCCGAACACGTTGACTGCAAGCTGCGTCCTCGTCTTGGCATCGAGACCACTGAAAATGTCGTCAAGCAGAACCAAATCGCCTGAGTCATCGTAAAGAGTTCGTGCGAGAGCTATTCTCTTGCGCTGTCCGCCACTAAGAGGAGAGCCATTACTTGCCAGCTTTGTCTCGTCGCCACCTGGTAGTGTTGGAAAGTCGTAGTCCAAGCAGCAGGCCGCCACCACTTCGGTGTATAATTCCGACTTGAACTCTTTCCCGAAGAGGATGTTTTCCTTTATCGTCATTTCTGGAATAAACCAAGGTACTTGGTCGCAATAGGTGAGGTGCTTCGCGCCCATCCTCGTGGTCCCTGTAATGCGTGCCTCTCCCAGCAGCGCTTTCAGAAAACTAGATTTCCCACAGCCTGGAGCACCCGATACCACCAGTAAGTCCTGTCGGCTTACAGAGAGGTGTACATTATTGAGAAAAGTTGAATCAAGAGCCCATCCTGCGGTAAAACTGTCCAAGTATAGCAATAACCCGTCTGTATCTTCATTGCTCCGGCATTTGGTGTCCGCGGGCTTTACCACATCGATACCCTTCGCAACGTAATCGCGTATACGCTTCCAGCTGACAAATGCGCTGAAAAACTCTGGCAGCATTTGAAGGATGGAGAGGAGAGGCATGATCATGATTTGAATCATGGAGAGCGAAGTGAAGAGGACTGTGTAATCGAAGCTCAGCCAGGGCAGAAGAGCAACGCCACCAAAAGCTGCCAAGTTTGCGAGGCTCATGGTAAAAGTCGCTTCGCCGATGCGTGTCAGTTGAAAGACTTTTAGAAGAAGTACAACACAGAAAACTTACCAATGACGACGACGAATGTGAGAACGCCGCGAAACGTCGTGGCAGCGTCAATCTCCCGCTGTCTACTCTGCGTGGCTTGCTGAGCAGCTGTCTGTTGCATATTGCTGAACCGAATGATTCGAATCTCTGAAAGGAGATTCTTGATAATTTGAATACGACTCTCCGCTGCCTCCAGAAGCTTACGCTGGCTTCGCGACAGCGGTCCACCGAGGAGCATCGGCGCAAGGAGGCATACTACCACGGCAATCAAAGGACCCAGGAACGCGAGATTGATGTACTTGAATAGGACATAAGAGCCCACTCCAACCACAAGAACGTTGGGCACAATCATGCCACTCAGGATAACGGCTCCAGACACTGCTGCCGAGTCTTGCGACAGGCGCACCAGAACTTTGCCGCTGGCTGCCTCCCAGTCTGCACCTTCAGGAGGGGTCGCTCCAAAAGAGCGAAGTGCAACGTTGTGGATGAGAAAGGAGCGGACTCGAGTAGCCAGTTGCACAAAAAGCTGATCGCCATGAACTTGGAAAAGGCTGTTTGCAAGTTGGCTTGACGGGCACGAGAGAAAATGTTAGCCGAGTCATGATTACCGAACAAAGGCAGAAAGAACACGTACTTGAACAGCATGGAAACAACTAGCCACGCACCAACAGAGCGATGCTGGTTACTCTGCAAAAATGACAGGATGCCATTGATAATGAACGGCTGCGCGAGCAGGGTCGCAGCACCCAAGATCCGAATAAACATGGCACCAAGGAAATGGACCGCAGCACCTCCCCAGAAATCCGCATCAAACAGGTCAAGGTTGTTGGTTCGTAGCCTGTAGGTTGCGTTGGGACGAGGTAGAGAGGATTTTAGATCATCGGCAACCAACTTGTTCTTGAGACCATATTTGAGCAGCGGCCAAAGCCAACCAAGGAAGAGCATCCCGCCAGCCCCAGAACCAGGCTCATCGACGTGCACTCGCCTGCCCTTTCTTGCTGCGCGAGACTTGACAGTAGAGCAGATTTCCGAAAATAGAAAAGCAACGGCCGTCATGATGATCACGGCCACCTGCAGGGCTGCAAGCGCAAAGCCTGTTGACGGGTCGAGCTTGGCCAGGCGCCACAAGGTATGGACTCGAACACCGTCGGCAATGCAGGTTACGAGCAGGTAGAAATTTGCCAAAAGCAGATAGTCGGCGTTCCATAGAAGACGACTAAAAACCACCTTGATAGACGCAATGAGGCGAAGCGTGTAACTGGCGGTGGCAAGTGAGTTGGCACCAAGCGAGGAATGGGCTGGTAGCCTGCAGCTTACAATGAGAGATGCCAAATGCAGCACGACAAGCGGAAGAAGGAGCATCTGAGAAATTGTGTCAATGGAAATCCTTTTTTTTTTTCCCTTTGCATAGAGTCTTGCGGCAAGATGGCCATACAGTTTCTACCCATTCAGTGGCACTTGTTCCTTTGCGGCCGGAATCCCGCAATGACCACTGCAGACTGGCGACGACGAGCATGGCGCAGACAACAGCAACAGCAGGAATAATGCCAAATACGGCATTTTGAAAGTCGACGCTGAGATCGACACTGCCGTCAGGTAGCGTTATCAAAAGAGTGATGGACATGATGACGGCGCAATGCAGAAAAACATCTCGAAACGTCTCGAATACTGTCCAAGACATGCATGTTGAAAAGACCAAGTCCTGAATTTGTATTGATGGAGCTGGTCTGTGGACTCCGTGAGAAGCAAAAGTACTCTCCTATCTGGCCAACTAGGCAAGCCGCGTACGACTTCTCTTCCCCCCCCCCCCCCCCGCGCATTGCCCCATACTCACCAGCAACAGGCAAGGCTGCAGGGATAGTTCAAGCCACTTCTCTACACGGCCATGTCTCTGTGTGTCTAAACCCAAGTTCCAGAGCTGCGGATTGTCCACTGGAATATAGATTTCAATTCTACCATACCTGTTGGACCTGCCTAGATCGTATCAATCAAGCATCAATAACAACACCAAAACCCGCTCACGATATGTATTGTAGCCCCCCCTTGAGGGCGACATTAGCGTCGACTCGCCCAAATGTGTGTTCTTGAGCTGCTAGGACTCATCGAAAAGGGCTGCCGGGGGTTGTTAGGGTCCTTTGTGCACGGCATGGCCTTGTCAACGCCACAGCCAGTAGTCCAGACTACTTGGCGCTGTGAACCGCCATTATCACTGGTCAAGGCTTATATTGCTTGCTGGCTGTCTTACGTGTGGTTAGTACGTAATAGCTTTCAGTGATCAAGAAAAAATCCATCTTCCTTCAGGATTCTACCTCGCTGGAGCTATTTTCGCTTTGTGCTTTGGCACAGGGCGGGGAGAACCCCCAGTTCGGCTCGCGCGCCGATCGTATGTTCCGCCGCCGCCCTGGTTACTGTTGGCCCGGCTAACCTACATCTTCAATTAAGTCAGAGTTGGACTGATAAGCTGAGGGGCAGGGGCAACAGCACCAACTTCAGCGGTGTCAAGGGTATCTCCAGTATATAATTTCTCCGTGCCATAGTTTCGTCAACCATGTTGGCTTACGAGACATAGCATGCGTGTAGCATCAAATGGCGGCCTCGTGATTCCTCAATGCCAAGTCTAATCAACTCTTCTCTCGCACTTGGCACAACCAGGCGTTCGGCTTCAGGTCCAGCCAGTATGGTCCTTCAGCCACATCACAAAGGTGCCTTCCACAAACTACAAACTGAAGCAGATGGTTATAGTGATGCATTTACATGTCCTAACCCGTGATTGTAATTACATCCGTCCTTCCAGATACCATTTTCGACACCTCTACTTACAGATATGGGCGCACTGGCTCATGAGCTGCGACCGAACCAGCGGTCACGCGCCTTTGACGTTGTCGGACGCGCGATTGTTTCGCCATCTTGGGTCTTGCATCGGCCAGCTCTTCCTTTTGAAAGTGGATCAAACGAGGGCCTGCAGGATGCCATTTACAATGAATTTCGAATGGCCATGACAGCAAACTGAGCCCAGCCTAGATGTCACCATGTCGCAGATCACCTTTGCTTCCAGCCCAAAGCCAAACACCTCCGCCGCACAAAAAGACAAGGAAAAGGAACCCTCTTACAGAAGTTGGTAAGAAAATTCTATACGGAAAAAAAGTCGGGGCAGAGAAGGTCCATGAGAATTTGCATTCTTTCTTTTTTATCATAAGACTTGACCCTATCGCATCGCTAATGCTCACAATATTCTCAAAATCAGGTATAAAACCACAGGCGCAAACCATACAAGCAGAGTCAACTCGCACATGAGGAGAGAATGAAAAAAACTGAAAACATCAAAGGACCAAAGAAAAAGATAAAAGCATCCCATCCTCTCGGTCTCTCTCGTCTCCCTCATGCTTCTTACACATCCTCACTCTCTTCTCTAATCCCCGAAACAAACACAATTACCAAAAAAAATCTCAACGGATGCATGCTGGAGAAGAGAGGCCGTAACAAGAGGAAAAAAGATCAAATGGGCAAAAACACATCAAACGCGTACCACCGCCGCAATTCACATTCGACGCACACAAGCTGAGCACTCTCTTGTAGCTAGTTGCGGTGCCGTCTTCGTGAATCGTTGCGCAACATAGGAAATGACTTGAAAGAAAAACACAATAAGAAAAGATTCCAGATAGAGTTGGAAATGGCAAGTATTATGCTTCCAAACTCGATCCCTATACCTCGCTCGTCTTTCTTCTTCCTAACAATTGCCCGTGGCTAGTCGCTATTGTCGATAGCCATCTCCGGCCGTATGTCGTACGTGAATGTCGTCTCAAACTACGCCTTCGACCGTAGCGATGATCTGTCATGATCCTAGGTAGGTCCAGGGCTTCAAGCCAGGTAGCCAGGCGCCCAAACCCGAGGTATAATGTTCGCATCGGCATGCAGTTGCTCGACTCGTCAACGTGCTGCATGTGTGGCATTGTATAGCATCGGCTGGCTTCGTTGGAAGCTCGAGCCTGCTTTCCTTGTTCGTACAGATCTCTTTTTTCTTCTTCTTCTTCTTCTTTATTCATCGCCACCTCTAGCCTTGCCACGTCGTCGGAAAAAGTCCATTACACGCTTAGCCGCACCGCTGCTGCCTTCGTGTCCCTGAAAGCCATCTTGTTCGTAGGCGTCCGTGAATCGCTTGTTGCTCTTCTGAAGCGTCCCGCGTTGCGGGTGCCCACCACTTGTGCCAACCCGGCGGCCGTCATAGCCTTCTGAGACGTAAAGGCCGGAGCGGTACGATCCAACCTGTGGCTCCGTCGGGGGCCGGCGCCTGTCCACCGGCGATTCCGAGCCGGGTCTGTATTGTGATCCTCTCCGAACGTACGTGGGCACCGCTTCCACTTCGCGTCCGTCTAGCTGTGCCGACTGATATTGCTCATGGCCCGGGCTTGAGCTGGTCTGCGGCTGCGCAAATTTGTTGTTATTAGCAGGCAGGTTGTCAAAGAAAGGCGTGCTGCCTCTGGCATTTCCCGGAGCGTTAAAGTTTCTCAATTGATCGGCTCGTGGATCCTGAATCGGCAAGTCGTTTCGCGATCCTGTCTCGGACGGAGAATAGTCGCCACTTTCCTTGCCTAGACCAATCGCCTTGAGGGAAAATGATGCTGGAAGCAAAGAAAATCGTCGCTTGTCCTTCTTCTCCTCAGAGTTTTGGGATGGTGCAATGCTGCCACTGCGCTTCTTCCCGAGGCCAAGAGAATATGAGCGGCGTCCATTCGAGAACTTGGAGTCCATGGAAGGTCGACTAGGCTCTTCACCAGTCATGTTCATGTTGTTGGCGATGCTGATGGGAGGGTATTTCTTCTTCTCTGCCATCTGCGGCTCTGGGCGCTTGCCTTTCTTGCCAAATACGGAGCCACTTCGGCCTAGAATCTTGGAGCCAAGATCGCCAAGCGTGCTCGAACGCTTGTGGCCACGGACCTCACCAACAGGGCGAGGGGAATCGTTATAGCCAGAAACGCGGGCAAATTTGGGCGGTACAGCCACACTATTGTGGCCGGCCAATTCGTCATCGGGATGAGCCGGCTGTTGGATGCGTCCTTGGGCATTAGTATTCTCGACAGTTGGAGGGGCAGGCTGGCCGTAGTTGAGAATTTTAGATTGAAGGCCCATGGATCCAGTAGATTGCATGGAGCCTCCAGTCTGTGGTCGTGCGCTCGAGCCCGCACCGGCCGAGTAGACATTGTCGGGTCCAGTTCGACCGTCCCCGGACTTACCAGACGTGATGGACACTGGAGGCTTCTGCTGACCAGCACGGCTGTGTTTGTCCCTCGACGCAGGCTCCACAGGAAGGGGCTTGTCACGAGGCGCAGAGTAGGACGTGCCAGCGAGATCGCGACCTTGCTCATCGGCACCGCGCTGCGTTTGTGTCGTAGGTGCGACGTATTCGACCTGCACAGTGCGACGCTTGGCATCTTTGGTGGTGCGATGGTTTGCGTCCGGGGTGGGAGAGTCAATCTTGGCGTGAGCTTTGGAGAGACCACCGACAGCGGGCTGAGGGGATCTTGGCTTGGCGGCTTCGCGAACCGACGCGCTGCGGGTCATCATAGGAGCGTCGAATTCCTCAATGCCCGTGTTGCCGTTTTGCACGTCTAGAGGAGAGGTCGTCGAGCTCGTAATGAATTCAACAACATGTGCATATTCACTGAGCCAGCTGTGGCGTGCAACCTCAAAGAGATCAGCGCGTTTCCGAGGGTTGGGAACCAGGATTCGGCGGAGGAGGTCGCGGGCATGCGGCGTAACATATTCGGGAAAGGTGAGGGGGGTCATGACTATGTATTTGTATAATAAGTTGATATTGTCGCCTTCGGGATTGGCAGGGTCGTCGTCAAAAGGTAGATAGCCAGCAAGCATAGCGTACTGTATCAAGTTAGCATGGTGTCCTACGGCCAAAGAGACTATGGACATACGAGAATAACACCACAGCTCCAGACATCAACCTTTCGGCCAGTATACAACGAGTCGCTGACAACAAGCTCAGGCGCAGCATAGCAAGGAGAGCCGCAGCTTGTTTGCATGAGATCGCCCTTGCGCATGCCGTTGGGTCGCACGCTGTCAAGACCAAGGCGCTTAACCTGCTCGCGGTCTTGCAGGTTGAGTTCTTCCTCTTCCGAGAGATCCTCATGGGGATCGAATGTGTTGGCGAAGCCAAAATCGGTAATGATAATATTGCGGTTGCTGTCCAAAAGCAGGTTCTCGAGCTTGAGATCTCGATGCACAATGCCCTTTTTGTGCAGGTAGCCAACACCAGAGACAAGTTGTGCGAATAGTCGTCGAGCGGAGCCGTCCTTGAGATATCTGTGGTTTAAAATGTAGTCAAAGAGTTCGCCGCCAGAGGCATACTCGAGAATAATGCCAATGTATCTGTCAGTCTCGACCATGTCGAATAACCGAACAATGTTGGGATGATGTAGGCCGCGGAGAATAGTGACTTCGCGACGAATCTTGGCGAGACGGGACGGGTTCGAGCCAACAGTATCTCTCTTGATTAACTTGATGGCAACCTGCGGCAAAGTGTTAGCGATTTTGTCAGATGACTCGTGGTGCGTGAATCACGCAGGGACTTGCCTGAACACTACTATCTTGCTTCCAACCAAGCTTGACTTTGCCGAATTCACCTTCGCCAATGGTGTTGCCGAGGATAAAATCGCCGAATTTTGAGGTTCTGTGACTTCGTGGATGCTCCTGCCGCCTGCGACGCTCGTCGGGGGTGCCTAAGGGCACCGAAGGAGCTGGAGCGCTCTCTCTGGCTGGGCTCGCGCGGTAAGCTGCCTCTTCAGGATTTGTGATGATTCTGCTCAGGGTGTCGGAGGCCTCGGTGGTCCGCTTGGTGGTCTCGTTATGAAGCGTTCTGATGGGCATGACGGTCTCCTGCTGACGACCATCGCGGCTGGTGGTCTGCCTGGTGGCATCCTGGTGGGCAATGTGAGCAGGCGGCGTGCGGCGAGCCTTGGGCGAGTCGTAGTGACCGTTCTGGTCGGCGTGACGGTTTTCGCCCCTGCCCTGATCAGCGTGGGAGTGCCTCGAGGAGTCGGCGAGCTTATCAGGGGTATATCTGCGGGAGGAAGCATTGTGGTGGCTGGACGAGGTCCGGGGGGGCGCCGAGGGAGGCATGGCGGAAGAGTGGTCGGACGGCACAGACTGGGAGCTATTATAATTAAAGGCGGCGTTGGTGGCAGCCCTCGCGGCGAGGGTGGTGGGAATTTCGTTGGAATGGGCAGCGGCGGCCGAGCTGGTCTTGCGCGAGGGCGGGCGGGCGGAGGACTGCGACGAGGGAGAGACTGGGAGGGAGCCGTAGGGGTCGCGGGTCGGAGAGGCGTGCGCAGACATGTACGGGCGATTGTTGGAAGCTGGTAGAGGAGATGATGTCAGGACGGGCGGAGGTTGATGGCGAGAGCTCTGCAGAGCAGCCGACATGATTTCCGAGGGAGCGGGCGACCGGCGTGGTGAAGAGACGCGCAGGAGGGTGTTGCGGTGTTGCCCGGGAGAAGGGAGGGAGCGCAGGCCAGGGCAGCAAAAACAGACGAGGATGAGATTGTCGTGTTTTTGATGAAGAATGTCGGCCGAGGAGAGAAAGTTGCGCGTGAAAAGGTAGACGACTATGCGCAACGGGGGATGCACGAATGTGCAGGTGGGCGGTTAGAGATGATTGATGCAATGTGATTTGGCGCTGAGGCTCAATAGGAGAGGAGGGCGCGAAAGAGAGCAGCCTGGGCAGGTGAGGGATGAATGAATGGGTCCAGTCCAAGTCCAGCTCATTCAGTAAAGCTTGTCCAGCTCAGTCAGTACCTATAGTTCCAGCGACCGGTTGGTATTGGCTTGGTTCTCTTGGGGAACAAGATGACGCTAAAAGTAAGGTAGCGCCTTCCAGCACGTCTTAGCGGTGTCCAGGTACCTGATTAGTGGATCCCATGTGCTGAAAGCGCTAAATAATACTCCCCGTTATTGCGCAGAGCTTCAGCCCTTGCGCTCAGCGCGGAGTAGCGGCCACGAATCAATCGCGGTCCTGCAGGACGGTATGCGAACCAGCAAGGGGGTGGCCAGCCGATGAGTGTTGCAGCAACAAGAAAAGAAGAAAATATTGTCTTCTTGTCGACTCAATGCATGGGGCGGGCGCGCAACGAGGTTGGCTCTCTTTGCTGTGCAGTACACGGACCGAGGTGGGCGTTGTGGCGTCAACAATGCTGATGCGTATGCAGGTCGGTTGGTCGTGTTTCGTCTGCGGCGCGACCCTACACCCACACAAGTCTCTCTCAGCTGTCGAGTCGATAAGCAGGTCAGTTCTCCTTCTTTATTAATGTTATGATGCAAAATAGCTGTCAGCCACTTCCCCGGCCAAGTGGAGAGGAGATTTGGGTTTGGGAATGGTAGGTGGGTGGGCGCCGCGCAAATGACAGGCAAGCCCCAAACGGCACACTAGACAACGGCTGACTGGTGGCAGAGAAGAGCGAATGGTCGAGGTCGAATAAATAGATGGACAGGACAAGTCCGCTCAGACGAACGACAGCGAGCGACCGACAGGGTTAGGAAGCTAACACGATGCGACGCCACACACAGCGACACCAATGGGTTGCAACAACAACCGTGAGATTAGACACGGGCACCTCTTTTCTTAGCGTGTGCAGTTGGCGCAGGGGCACCTTTGAAGACACTGACAAAATAAAAGACAGGACGTACCGGAGAGACGAAAGCTCTTGTTGAAAACCGTGCGCTTCCTCGCAATACTCTCGACCAACCAGTCTCTCAAATTCACAGACACAGGATAAAGACAACTTTGAAGGCCTCGCACAAAGAGTTCAATATCGCCGGCTTCTGTAGAGCGCTTTACTACCGCGCGACACAAGACTCGGGTCGGACAAGAATACCCTCGAGTAGAAAAGATGTTTCGGAAACTATGAGCCAATCGTGAAAAGCACCGACAAAAGGAAGAAAATCGCAGACAAGAAAAAAAGAGGAGCTCAAATCAAGGGCGAAACGAGAAAATCAGACCGTCGCAAATTGCATTGTCATGTCGCTCCGGGATGCATGTACAACTCACGAAACTAGCTTACTATTGACAGCCAAAGGAAGGGGCTGCACCTGCGGCTATTAGCGATAAACAATGCCTCTACACTGTTCGATGAGTCCATGGCAAGCGAACGCAGCCCTAGCATCACCTAACTAATTTGTTAATCTAACTACCTAATTAGCTCGTGCACCCGGTGGGCCGTGCTCATCTCCAGCGTCTTTTCAGGTACCATCTGGAGCTTGCCATTGTCCGGCGTGTCCACTGGTAACAACGTGGGCTCGGCGTGCCAGTGCTATTCACGTGCTACCAGTACTTTGTACAAGACAAGCGTGGCGCTAAACAGATGCCAGTACCTACGGAGTACCTACCTAGGCGCAGTTTGGCTCCTTCATCTCAGCGGCCCATCGGATAGATACATGTACCTGCAAGGGGGGACAAATGACGAGAGACAAACCTGCTGGTAAATATTATATTCTGATATCCATTGGCAACTATTTTCAAAAGTACCGAGAACGGCTACGGAATACTGTTGATAATAAATACGCGTCGCCAGGCCCTTTGTCTCCTCTGCGAACCCTGCGTCTTGGAGGAAACGCGACCTTGCGGCGACCATCAGCCCGCTTTCGAGGTACATGCCCAAATGGGGAAGAACTCTTGCCTCAATTGTCAGCCAAAGTAATCCGTACGGCTACTCGAGATACTCGGGCGTTTCTTTTTTCCCCTGCCTACAAGCTTTCACAGTCTGTCTTTCTCGGTCAGCGCCTCCAGTCTCGTCCCAAGTTTCGGATATATTCAACATCTAGCACTCCGGTACCTTACTGGTACGTCTCTCTCGTCTTGCCACACGTTGCACTGCTTTTTTTTTTTTCACGCCGTTCCGAGACGGCCACGTTTTAACTCGTCCAACGCAAGAACTCGACTAGCCCCCATCTCTACTTCTCTGCGCTACACTTGTACGTCATCGAGACTAATTACACTGGCGTGGTGCGCTGTCGAGCGCCAGTATGCATCTTTTGATGCTCACCACGGGTCGTGGCTCATTAAACGTGCGGTTTCACCTCGGCGCCGCTCCCCCACACGCTATTGCCATTTCTCCCCTTGATGCGCCGTCTTATTATATTCAATAGCAGCGCATCGGACTATTATCCAATTCAATACGCCGCTATTGCTCGTTCTCACTAGGGTCTCTCCTTTTTATCATGCCTTCCCCAGTTTGCTATTAAACGCACGTCATTGGTAATACCAGTTCGGCCATGCCGTGTTCTCTCTCTCCACCCATCGCAGTGACACGGCTTGGCGTAGGGGGAGCCGCGAATCCCGTTTTCTAAATCTTTTCTCATGCTAAAACAGGTCTCTCCAAAGATCCCAGCGACACGGTGCCTACCTGTGGCTGGAGCGTCCTTCTACGCTGTCTCTAGAAGCTGTTCCTTGCATGGACATGTCCTGCGAGGCTGCACTGATCGGCGATGCCCGCTCAACCACCGCATATCGCAGTCCATAGTCTATGCGAGGGATTGAGTATGTCAAGTGCAGGCCTCACTGCGCAAGGGAGGGCTGTTCTACGTTCCAATCTGATCAATACTCGAACCAGCCATCAACAATGGGGGCTTGCTCAAAAGCCGGCCATCTCCCTTGCTTCGAATCGATACTTACCCCGCGCGAGGTGCAGCGTGAAAAAATTCAATGTTCTTCTATTGATGCTCACTTGACCGCCAGTCGGATTGCAACATTGCACTTGACGCGTTTGACACCTTTGACGCGTCACATGGAACAATGTGGAACTGACTCTTGAGCTCTGAGACCAAATGATGCCTATCGACTAGGCCGGGGCGCAGTTCGTTTTTTCAACGCATATAAAGAACTTGTCCGTCAAAAAGCTCTAAGCTAAGAAAGCAAACCCCATACGGATACAAAAATAGAAGCCATCGGGCGTTATAAAATGGTGCATAAACTTAAAAGCACACACAACACCAGACGAGCCACAGCTGAACAGGGATATCGCAATTAAGAGCAATAGCAGCAATTCACGGCCAATTGATTTGCATCATGCTATAACTCACTAGCTTCTCATGCTCAACAGAAGAAGAAAGGCTGGCGGGCCACCCCCCACTAGAATTATACTCGCCATAATCATCTATTCATTCGTGCGTTCATTGCATGACTTTACTGCCTTGATTTCCTGGTATACCAACGTCAAAGCTCAAAGGACGGCTCGTGTCCAAACAAGTCCCGATTTGGAAAAAAGAAAACAAAGCGCGTAGCCTAACTACGACAAAGACAACCAAAAAAAAAAAAAGGATTTGAGACAAAAGTCTTGACAACAAAGGCTCATCTGGCAATAGATGCTTCGCCCTGCCTTTGCCCCAATTTTTCCACTTCAGACGTCATCGTACTTTGCATGCGGTAGCATCGCCGCCGCTTTTGTTCCCTTTTCCGCGCCCATCACTTCTGCTCGAGGTCCGCCGCATAGATTGAGTTTTGCCAATCGTATGTCGTCGGCTCGAACAACCACGTTCCTCCGTCCTCTGTGCTGTGACCGCTGACCGGGTGGTGCATGCAAAGTCACACGCCCGATTTTCATCCCACCCTCAGCGATCATGAAAATCAATGTAAAGAATAGCGATATAAGTCATAGTGAAATCATGGTTGATGCTCGTACTGAGGTTAATGCCTAGTTTTTCTTGCAAGTCGGCGTAGGTAGTTGATGGAACTTGCAGTTGATTTGTTCGTATCAGTATAGGGTATGAATGCGTGAGGGTGGCATAGCCAGTTATGGCAACCACACCACTACGACGCTTGCAGTAACGGCCATCCTCAGCAGCTGGAGACACGTCCTGTTTCTTATTCTTCAAGCCCCAATATGAAGCTATCAGCTCTCACTGTCCTCTCCCCGCCTGATTAGGCCTCTTACGTTTGCAATGCGTTGGAATAACACAAAGCTACATTCTCTAGTGACCAGCACAGTACATCGTATTGAGCCGTATCTATCGTGTCATCCGTTGGGCAAGCCTCGAGTCCATCTCGCCCTCTACTCTCGTCGCAGGCAACCTCGAGTTTGGGGCAAGGCTGCGTCAAGGTTGGCGATGGGCGTGGAACGACATTGAGGCATATCCTGTGGGTAAAGGTGACTCCAGATAGGATCGATGAATCTATTCGTCTCGTTGACCAGGAGAGAATGTCCAACACAAGGTCAGATTCCCACAAACATCAGCAGGCTTATATGATCACGACTGTCGAGACAACCAGCACGGGTAGAGCAGAACATTGCATGGTGCTTGACAGACAACTCACTGACTGGCAGCCTATTAATAGTCACCGTGGTATTTTCGTCGGATTTCTTCCATTTCCAGTGCTTTCGGGAGCGGCTCCAAGAAGTGGTCTACCTCTTGCCGCCAGAACTGGTTCTGGGGGTTCACATTCCAGGCCGACGTGTACTCCCAATACGGTGGCATCCACGCCGCCGTTTCCCAGTCGATGATGCCAACCACCTCATCACCGCGGGCCAAAACGTTAAAGGAGCTGAGGTCGCCGTGCGTAAAGACAGGGTACGGCCATGGCTGGGTTTGAAAGGCAATGAGGGGCTCGAGTTCTGGTATCGCGGTCCCCGCAAACGCTGGCTCGTCTACGCCGCCGCGAAGCTCGCGATGAAAGTTGTGAATGGTCCGAAACGGGCCCCAGAAGCCGTTCCCAGGTAACCTGCCATCGTATATGGGCCCCCCGTCCACATTTGACACGCCGCACCCCGCCGGAGCCGGTATCTGGCGCAACTGCTGGATCATGCCTCGAAGACTCTTGAGGATGCGGCTTCGCGACTCGGGCGTGCGCTGGTACCAGCCATAGGCAAGGTCGACACCGTCAATGCGCTCCATGACAATGAAGACCCTTCCCTTGTGCTCAAACGCGCTATACACCTTGGGAACCGGGATAGCGGTATGCTCGGCGACAAAGCGCATCGCAGACGCCTCAGCCAGTGAGGTGAAGGGCCCGGATTTGATGCAGAGCCTCCGGGACAGGAATCTGACGGGACCAGCCCGCGGGAGGAGCTGCCGAAAGCAGCTGAAAGAGAGGAACCAATATAGGATAATCACGGCCCATCGCACCAAAAAACGATCATTGATGGGCTGAGATGCCATGACGGCTATACAGCAATGTCTGGCTGATTGGAGAGGGATGCGTTTGTGTTGGGGCTGTACGGCGTGGGCGTTCCGCGCGACGAAGCGCCGTTTGCTGAGTTACACGCTCAAAAAAACGGGACGTGCCACACTTTTGTAGCCCCTATACCCCCTTATCCTGGGTGAGATGGGAAAGTCTTGTATGCCAGGCTGGTACCGATTTGGGGGTAACGTACCTACTCAGGCAACTATCTAGGTACAGGGCGAAGATGTATTTCACCGGGCAGGTGTTGATGATTTTTGCCGGGAAGAGAGTTCCCTGACAGGCGAACAAAACAAACGCACCACACCCAGTAGGTATTATCACAACACCGTTTCCAAGACACGTGACGAAAGCCAGATGGGATGGACCAATCAACAATTCCGCCGCCCGTTCATGAAATGATCCTTTACCGATCTGAGCGGCAGCCTTTGGTACGTGTGATACCTGATCGGGGCCGAAGTGATATCGTCGTTGAGCTAAAGCATTTTGCGGTTAATAGCCTTTCTAGCTCCGCCAAGCTCGCGAATTAGTTAGTGCCAGCCATAGCGTGGGGGGTGGCCCGAAAGGCACATTGACACCACAGACTATATTTCTAATAGGCCGAACATTAGTAGCAGCAATGGCAGCTGTATGCTGTCTAATTATGTGCTATAAATACTATGCACAGACTACCATGTCATGCAGATCCCTATAACTTGATGGAAATATTGTAATCGTCCAGCACAAGTGCCAGTATACTCAATGCACCAGTGTAAGCCAGCAAAATAGCCATGGTAGCCACAGGAGATACGTCCAATGTGGGAACCGTCATGTTCACCAGCCCAGTCAAGAGGTTGGCGACAAGAAACAGACCCAGGCCGTTGCGATTAAAGGCGCGCATGAGCTTGCTAGTGGCAAACTCGTACGCCGCCTTCTCCGACTTCTTGTCGGTTGCATTGTAAAACGCCGGGAAGAACATGGTGTCGACGAGGCAGTACCCGAGCACAAACACAGAGTTGAAGGCTGCGACCCAGAGCACATATGGCAAGTTGGCCATGCGCCTCGAAACGGTCAATCCCAACCCATACGATATGCTCGTCGACAAATTATACAGCAAAACCCAAATACCTGCCCAAACAGCCATTGTCATGAGCAACGTGTTGCGCTGCACGCCGGCGCGAGCATCGCTGCGCGGGTTCACTTTGCGCGGGAGCACAAACAAGCCCAAATCTTGGCCAGCGAGGAAGATGGCCAGATATCCGAGGAAGCTGAATATCCCCTCGCGGTTCATTGAAATCAGGTCGACACGGGGCGCCGTCAGAATGTATGCCTTGAGCTGCGTCTTGTTGAGAGCAAGCTCGTATAAGCCCGACACTAGCATGGACAGCGCCGCGTACGACGGGATAAATCGCAGAATCTCCTGGAAGAGGGCCACAAACGGCGGCAGAAAGCCGAGAGTAAAGAAAAAGTTCCAGTGGACTCCGTATTCCGTCGTGTGTTCGGCATACTCGAGCCCCTTGACGGTCAGAAAGCGAATGAAGCCGAGCGTCAGCAGGGGGACCGAATGGCGAAGCGATTTGAGCAGCCGCGTAAACGGCGAAAGTGTGCGACCGCTCGCCTTTTCCTTGAGCACCGGGCGCGCGGCGACGACGCCGGCGGTAAAGACGTACGACCCGACGCCGAGATCCATGAGCGACGTGCCCCAGGTCTCGACCTTGGCGAAGCGACGCGGGAACAGACGGAAATCGACTGCGAGGATGGCAACATATGTGATGATTTGCATGGAGCCGCGGTACGTCGTCAAAAAGGGCTTCACCGGCACCGCATCGAGGGCCAGGTCTCGGCTTCGCTCGCTCGCATCGGTCGTCGTCGTCGGCGGCGGCGGGGGTACGGCACGCTTCTTCTTGCTGCTGGGCGCCGAGGGCGGCAGCATGTACACCAGCGCCACGGGCGTGGCGAGAAAGATGCACAGAAGAAGCGGCGCGTTCGAGTAGAGCGTGGTGGCGAGCAAGATGGCGCAGACGTTGAGGCCGTAGTCGACGAGATGGCCGAGAGCGCTGGCGGGCTGGAAGAAGGAGTGCCGCGCCTGCAGCGCAGACCACAGCAACACGGCAATCTGTGACAGTTTGTCAGTTGCTATTTCGAATCTGTCCATCCCGCGCGCATCTCCTCGCCTCTTCCCGTCCCCCCCCCCTCCCCCACTCCCTAAATTTTGCCAGTTTGCTCTCCCTTTTTTACCCCATGCAAACAAGCAGTCTGGGGGGTTTGCGCGCGAGGCCGACCAGGATTCGCAGCCACGCATCGGACGCGGGAAAGATTCAATCACAAGAAATAATCTCGGATGGGAATAAGCACGTACCAAGGCGACGGCTGTGACATTATTGATCTCGGAAACGGGTCCGCCAGACAGGTTAGACACAAAGTCCTCCTTTCGCTGTTTGTAGGTGGAATTAGACATTAGGGGCAAGGCTTTTGCCCAGCGGCGGAGCAAACAAAGGACCCTGGGGACGATATCAAAAGGAAAAAAAAAAACAAATACAGAGAAGAAAGAAAGTCTAAACGAGGTCGAACGAGAAGTGCGTGCCACAATGTCAAAGCGAAAGAGACAAAAAATGACGTGGTGGCGTTGGATCGAACACGTTGGTAGTTGAAGGAAAGCCGCGAGATGTCTCCAAAAAACGGGCGGGGGTCATTGAATGGGGGGGACAAAGTTGTCGAGACGAGGGTACAAACAGGTGTCGCGCGCTAACTTGCCAGCGACCAGCTGTGGGCCGGCCTCAGTTACTTCTCACCGAAACTCACGATATCTTCACAATGTTGCTGCCCGAACCAATACACCCGGAATCACCACACGATGTGGATTCAATGGCTGTTCATAAGACCACTTATAGGCACCCTCGTGAACCCCGAGGTGCCATGTGATAACTAGTCATCAACGACCTCCTAGACTGATGTAGTTGTGCCGTCACCCACTCATTGCCTGGCGGGCGCCTATCCTGAACCTCGGTCTGCCATCTCATCATCCGAATCGTAAAAGAGTTTTTTCTTTTTTGTCATTGCTCCTTTCAGCCTCGTCCTGCAGTGCCAGCTGAGTCAAGTCCGTTACCCATGTCGCCGCTCCTCCTTTCACCACCAGCACAGCATCTCTCGGCCGGGATGCGCTTCTTTCAGACGTCAGCCTCGTCCCCTTTGTGACTGCTGAAATTAGAGCAAAAAGTGTCTCTCCCTTTTTTCTTTCCCTGGACCAGCCAATCACGGCAGCGTCGATTAGCTCCTTTGGCGCCCTTTTTATCCCCCCCCCAAATGTCTCTCTCTCTTTGTCGTTGTAATAAAGTGGGTTCGGCGAATAGCACCTTGTTCTGGTCTCCTTTGTGCATGGCTTAGACGCCACACCGGACGCACAGGACACCCGCTGGGCAAAGCAGCCCATCGTCAGTGGCCGGCGTCGCGTCTCGATTTCTTTGTTCTCGCTCCCAAGGTCCTCGGATCCCATCACGAAAATGTGATGAGAAAGACTTGGGGGTGTGTGTGGCTGTGAAAATCACATTACCTTGCTCAGCTGGATCCATGACCGTCCTTTGGTCCTTTCGGGAGATTTCCGCAAGGTATTTCAATGTCTCATTCACAACGGATCACAGTCCAATATATATAATAAAGCCATTTCATTTTTTTTTCCCCTCCTAGGGATTGTTTTTTGTAGATCATCCCAAGTCTTTCCCTGTACTTGACGTCTTGCACTGTTCTTGCTACTATCGCACTTACACGCAACGTAAGCACCGCGAGACAAGACTTTTTTATACGCAGCCTGTCCTCGAAACATGTCGTCAACCTCTATCAAACCTCGTCACTTGGGCCTGGAAAGCAAACTGGGCTCACACGGACTCCCATCCCCGTCTCTATCCCCGGATTGCTCGATTGACAGCATTGATACCATGATGAGGGATGGGCACTCTCCATCCTCGACATCACTCCTGGCCGAGAGACGCATCACTCGTGCCGCAAAGGCTCATGCCCGCAACAAAGCTCTGCCGCGTATTGATACGGAGCAACTAAAGAGCTTATCCATACGCGAGAAGCATGCGGTGAAGCATGTTGCCCGCTCATCGGAAGCGGATGTTCGCCAGCAGCAATTTCAAAAGTATTGCGAGTTTCTGTGGAAGACGGGGCGTGCATATTTGGGCAACAAAAAGTCGCCGCACGTCAATATCGCGCCGGTACGGCTGCCTACAACACCAGTATCAAGCTACGAGAGCACCATCACCATCTTTACAGTGGTTCATTCTCAGGGCCACAGTCCGATTGGGTTGCGCCGCAAGTTCGATCGCAGCTTGCTGAATGCCACAGTCCCAGAGCCCTCTCGCTCGCCCTCGACGCCCAACTTTAACCGCGAGGAGCTTCTCGCTGCCATTGTAGACACAAATAAAGCTTTGACAGCAAGGCGACTGAGAAACGGCACTAAGACTGTACCCTCAAAAAGGGACACTCGTTTGAGACGAGATCTGGCACCAGATGGTATTCCTATGCGTAAGTTTGATATCCATCCAACCATCAAAGTCGTCCAATACCGGTTTACTAATACAAATTTGTAAAACAGACTTTCCATATGCGAGATCCTATCTGCCAATCCTAGCATCCATCATCATGTCAAATCAAGTCCGTGTCGGCGACACTATTGAGCTGCCGCTGCCATGTCCAGAAGCATGGGCCGAAACAGTTGCATGGGTGTACACTGGCGAAGAGGGTCTCGTGACGGACAAAGTTCGAGAAAATGTCCAGTATCTTGGCGGTAGGATATGGTAAAGAAAGGCAGGGAAAAGGAGTCAAAGAGAATTTTTTTCTCTCTTTTTCTTCTTTCATCTAGTGTGCTTTCGTAGGAGGAGGAGCTCATGACAAAGGATGACACAAAGGAGTTTTTGGTGTGGTACATCTTCACATGCACGTCTGTGGCCAGTTAAGGATGCAGGGAGGCGTCTTTGTTCTTTTCATTCACTTCGTATAGGAATCTCTTGAAACATGAGTACGACGAGTCATATTATCTTTGAGCGTTTGAATATTACCAAATTTTTTTTTTAATAGTCGCTTTGTGGCTTTTCATGGCTGTGGTGCATCGTGGGCGGCATTTCATGTGATAGCTCACCTTGGGTCTATCTTTGACGAGGCGAAGCGACAAGAGGGCAGCCTCGATCGGCCTGTGCGTTCTTCTGCATAAAGGGCTAGGCTAGACCGAACTTCTCTTGGACGAGTACATATGACGCCACATTGAGATGCTTTTAGTCTCCCACCTCCGCCGTTGACGTTTCTTCTTCCTCTTCTGTAGCTCGCTGCCCGCTCTCGAGGCAGAGGGGGGACCCCCACTCACACAGAAACATGAACACAGACAACTCGACACTGTGACACTCACACCCACACGCGCACACATCGCCGGCACATCTTGCATGCAAGTCAAAAAGCCGTTGCAAAGGGAAAAAGAGCAACACCACGATGGCTGTTGACGCAACGCGTCGTTGCTTATTATAAGTTGAACCCGGGGGTTGGCGCAGCTAAAATTGCCGTGTCTGGACCCTGTAGTCGGTGCTCAGTACGAATAGTTTGACCACATGCGCATCAGAAAGTGAGTCGTATCGGTACGTCAAAGCATGTATGTCTTAACAACGCTGACAGTCAGCCCCTTTGGTTCCTACTCGATGAACCCGGCTATGCAGCATTACGACACTTTGTATGTGCGTGTCTTTTTGCAGACCTGGCCCCAGAAAAAAACAAGCTGCATCCGGGCTCCATTGCTCGGCCTTGGGAGTAGGAGCGAATCTCACGATGCTAGCCCCGTTTGTGTCAGCATGACATTGCCATCTCACCTGTGGCCCCCTCCCGCTTCTCGCTGTAAGCTCCCGATCAGGATCCTGTACCGGGAATGGCTCTCCCGGGGCGGATGAGCGATCAGGGAAACCGGAAACAAGGTCCGAAGCCGGGCGCGGGAGCCTCGGACTCGCACGCTGCCTGCCTGCGCCCGCCAACGTCCGTCCTCCCGCAGCATTTATTTGTTGTTGTTCTTATCCGAGACAAGTCCAGCGTCGAGAAAGAAGACAAAGAGCTTCGGATAAGCAGCGCCCTGCAGCGGCATAAGATTTTTTTTTCGTTTCCTTAGCTCCGCCGCGTGTGGCTGTTGGAAAACAGCTGAAGAGGTCAATAGAATGGCGTGGTTCTGTTTCCCGTGAAAGGGGAGCAGAGGCAACAACATTCATGGTCGCATCGTGCCGTGCTTCTTTGTCTTTTGTACTAAGCCCAGCGCCGCACGCCACACCTGTATGCATGAACGGAGTTACTGCCGCCGGCAAAGAAAAGATAAATTTTTCTCATAGAATAAAAAAAAATTGATAGAAATCATAAAATTGGGGGATGAGTTAATCAATAGAACAAAGATACTGCACAAGTACCTTGCAAGTACCGCGCCGAGTGTCCCTCGAGGGACCCTGGCCCTGGTTGGAGAGACGGCATCATGGTGCTGTCGAACTGCAAGTCTGCACCCTCTCATGGATGATGGGTGGCATTGGGCACTCCTCTATCTGCAAAGACCCCGTCTAGGCCTTTTTAATCAATCTGTTCTTTTCTCTCCCATCGTTGTCTCACGAGTGAAATAACACGGGAAGGGAATTAATTCGAGATCAACAAAGTGACAGGATCATGAATAAAGCGCATTGTGGTGGACCAAGAAAAGCCACACTCGACAAGGATTTCATTGCTAACTAGAGCATCTTTCCCTATTGGGCCAAGGCTGGCATTATTTGCAGCGGTGCCGCGCCGATAATGACATGTTTCTTTTTCTCCCTCTCCTGTCGAGCCTTTTGTGGGCTTCGTTTGAAGAAACAAAAAAAAAGAAAAAGAAAGACCCTGGTTTGCATTACTTTGTCTTGTTTTGTTCATCCCAGCCCTCGGCTCCATCACGATTAGGGAATATGCAAAGCATACGTCGTCTCCACGAGAACCCTCCATCCCCGGGTATGACTCTCTTTGCTGCGGAGAACTGGAGTGCGAGGACAGGAAAAAATGGTACTTTCCCAAACGGCCGTTGGCATGTTTTTTTGACGTGTCTGCAATGCTAGTTGGTTCGATCCCGTAATCGTATAACGCGAGAAAAAAAAAATTCACAGGTGAAGAATATAAAAAAAAAAAGGAAAGAAAATTTTAGAATTTAGAAATCACCGGGTCAAAGAGGGCCAAGATGCCCACATGTAAGTAACTAGTAGTCGCCGAGTGGCGCCTTTGTTTCTTTTACATCCGTCTTCTCCGTAACTGACGCCGTCTCTTATCAAAGAAACGGGCCTTGGACTCGGCACGAAAATGGCTTGCCCACCTGGGCAAACACAATCAACCAAAACTCTGCCCGGTGCAAAACGGCCGCCGCTTGTGCTTCTTTTTTTTTTCCATCTGCCAACCATAATCCGTACCGTGCACGTGTTTTATCATCTTTTCAGCCGCAGGGCTGGGACGGGAATATTCGTCCGAGTATTTCCTCACGGTCCTTTGCGGGGGAGCCCGCTTCATCTTTGCTTTTTTTTTTCTTTTTTTTTCTTTTTTTTTTTCCCTTGGCGAGCCGCACCACGCTGTGGCGTCTTTAAAACGATAAGGGGGACCCTGGTTATTTGCTTTTTGGACTGGGGCCATGCCGAATGGGCTTAAAGGAAAGCATGCTGGGCAAACGTGGGTGTCGCGGCAGTATTACCGAAAAAAAGGTGCACTCTGCTTCTTGATGACGGTTCTGTTTCTTCACAAGACATTACGTAGACGAGGTGTAATGAAATTGAGCTCTCCTTTCTTTTCCCTCTCTTGGTGAACTGGTAAATACACCGCGGTGAGTCCTTTTTTTTTGGGCATGCCGAGACACTGGATGACGAGGACACGGATGGGGTCTTTGCTTGCGGACCGCGTGCGGGAACTGCCGCCCCCCATGCCATGTGGAGATTAATCAACCTCGGTGATTGTTTGCTCCAATCCGTCTTTTGCAAAAAATAAGAAGAAAAAAAAAACCCCGTTGGCTATTTATCTGAAGTAGATGTGTACAATGAGAGGCGTATCACACAGTGGTGCAGGAGCAGGAGCTTACGCCTCGTATGAGGTAGAGTTACGTTGAGCATCGTAAAAGCTTATTGGACCAGATCCGCGCCCTGACCGAGCAGCCAGCTGTGCAAGCCCGGGGAATTTTTTTCCTGCAGAGTGGCTCGGAAACAGAGCGAGGCTAACAATGCAACAAACAGAGGGGGTTTCGTTCGTTCGGCGCAAGCCCCATCTCC